AGTAACGCCACGAAGCCACCGGGAGAGCCTCCTTGACTCTATGGATATCATGAGACTCGACAATCTTTAAACCCGAATCGAGGTAAATCTCGGTGCTCGCGAAGCTCCTACCGAGGATCGCGAAGATCTCCTATGTCAGAGTCCACGATTCTGGCGTCGATGACGACAGCAGCGGGTAAGAGGGGGAGTGGTGAGTGTGGGCTCCAGTATTAAATCTCTGCCGAGAGGGAATCGTGTTATACGGCTGAAACGAGGCGTCGTTTTACGGCCTCAGTCAGCTATGGGTGAACAGTTTTTCGAACGTCCACCTCCCATCATTGTGCGCTTTGCATGAAGGGAGCGCCCAGGGCTTGGACGCTCCAAACCCGACCGGATCCAAGCTGGGCCCGTAGCTGGCACGAGATTCCGTCTGCGGCTCGGGCAATCAAGCCGAACTCATAATGGGACTCTCGAAGCGAACTCTCGATCCGCCTTCTGTGGAGTTCTCCGCTCATTGTGGATATCGCAGCCGCTCATCCAGGAGAAGTTGCTCGGTTCTGACATACGGACGTATGCAGACTCGTTCTCTCCCCAGACGCCTTGATTTCCTCGTGACTTCTTTGCTGCTGTACTCGGAATCTTCTCCCAAGTTCTAGATCACCTATCCGATCCCCTTCCCCAGCCAGCCCTCAACGACTATTCCGAATCCGTGACTTCTTTCGGGTTCCACAACCTCCCAACGAATTATTCCCTCAATGAGACGCCGTAGGATGCTCCGTCGAGTGTGTAGAGTGTTGGAAATGGGTTTTTCTGAACTGCTCCACGTGATTTAAGGTCAGGCCACAATCGCTCTAACTCAGGTCTGTATCCGGCCGAATAGGTGATCTAAGTTTATGGAATTCTATTGTTTGAGGGATCTCCCGGAATCCCTCGGGGAATCCCGATTTCTTCAACTCGATTCCACGCTCGTGGCAAGGCCAAGGCGCATTCCCACATTGGATTGCAGGGTAGGAAAGAGTGAAGATCCTTCTTCGAAATAATTCAAACAGCAGGCGATTTCTTCGTGTTTTTCTGAGAAGAATATTCACCCGTTTGTCTCGTCGACTGGCAAGCGACGGAGAATTACGCTTCACATCTTCACTCTTTTGCTCGGCCAAGATATGGAGCTATTCCGGCCGATGATAATCACCACATACACGCGAATCACATGCATCCGGCTTCATACCATTAACGAAAGGATTTCGTAGAGATCACCCTAAGTCGCGTGCCTGAAGTTTGAGACACCGGAAGCATTCTTAAAGGCTAGCTCCCATCGGCCGGAGGAGAGTGACGCCTTGTAAATCAAGTCGGTGATGGGAGTCCTTCGTGTTCACGTCTGAACATGTCTCGAGACACGTTGGGAGGCTCGCCAACATTTTTTGAGCATACTTATCGTGCACTCCCGAGCATATTCCATTGCATTTTTTCGGGGTCTCGAAATGGCCGGCCACGAGTAGCCCCGGGATATTTATGGTGCTATGCAATGGTAGAACGTCTGTCGCAGCTGCGAGAGGACCGAGAACTACCTATCTTTCTCCCATGCGATTTTTTCCTCGGGAGGAAATGGAAAATGTTCCACGCTGAGATCCCTGAGACGCGAGCTCTAACGACTCATTCTTCTGTCTCCGTCCTAAATGTTCTACGGTGACACTCTGTTGGCGCTCCGAGACTGAGGAGCAAAACACCACGACCAACGAGTTTCTCGCTCGCTCTCCGTTGGTGCCCAGTGTCGAACCGCTCGGGAGGAACCAATCGAACGGCTCTATTCTTGAAACGGATGCCTAGCACAGCCGTTCCGTGAAAATCAGGTCTCGGACCCGCGCACGTACAGGCGCGATTCGCAAGGTTGGAACGTGCCGAAACTGGCCACGCTCGCCTCATGCCCGTTGTCCGCATGTTCTTTCCGTTAGCGTGGACGCGCATCACAGCACGCGATGGCGGTGGTCAGATTGTCAGACCGAGCTGGATAACTCTGGCCATTTGTAACGATTTCGACAAATTGTTAAGCATGTCAGAGGCCAGCAGAAGATATCTCTGCGGCCAGAGGTCTCCATCTCGAAGGCTTCAAAGTACCCGAGACTGTTAGAGTCTCCGCGGGGCACCAATCCACGCGGCCAATCGCATCCCGCGAATATCGAGATGTCGAATGTTTGGGCGTCACAGTCGCCCGAACTTTTCAGCTCTATCATTGCTCATAGAGTTCATTCTCGTCAGTATACAACCCCGCAGAGTCGTCCCGACGCAACCAGCTCGTCCTGTCTTTGCTCCAGGAAGCTATTATCCGAATCCTGAGAATTCGAAGTGTCAGGCGTAGCAGCAAGCTGCACTTTTTCCGAATACCTTCTTGTCAGTCGGTTCACGGTACAATATTGTCCTTCAGAGAGGGACCTCCTTCTTATTCGCGCAAACATCCCAATACTGTTCGTCGATGGGTACCAATCAATATCCGGAGAAGTCGCAAGCTCTCGTTCAAGTGGCCCCGTTTCCGGTAGCGCAAGAGCAAACACGTCCCACCGAGGAATGCTACGGAACGACCTGAACTCCAGACCGAAACCTACAAACATGAATTTCTTTTGGAGAGAGCCAGTACCGAACATAGCACATCAGCTTCGCAGAAACGAGGAAGCTCCCGAAAGAACGCAGCGCGTTGCAGTCAGTCTGGTTAGGGAGCGGGAGTGAACTCCGAGAGGAAAATTCATACGATGAAATTCAAGTACGACCATGCCTTGTGGAATCGAATGTCTCAGGTTCCTACAGATTATTCCAGAAATTCGAATGTCCTGAGGCAGTCTTCAGTTCATTTGTCAGAATTCGCCTTCGATTTTTTTTGCAGTTTTCATGAAGCACCAACATAGTATGTATATGCCGAGCGTAGAAGCCTAGCAAACACCGCGGAAAAACTCCATCGCGAGGTCTGACCCTTGCTCCCGCTTCGGCAGCACACCTTCGGGGCGTCTCATTACCATACGGAATATCTTCACGAGAAGGAGACAAAGCGCGGTAGTAGGAAGATGCTCTGCTGAATATCGTGGCGTTAGCGATTCGCAGAAACACAATCGAATCCGAAAGTACACCATCGACTCACTTGTTGTCCACTATTTACATTATGAGCTCCGCTTGACAAAGGACGGTGGCAGAAAGCACGAAGCACTTATAATGACAGAGGCGACCGTTCGATGATGAGCTCTCGTCGATGAGAACGAGTGTATCACCGTGGAACGACTTGTCGGCACCTATGACATGACGTACCGCCGGTGCGTATAAATGAACCACATTACACACAGACGTAACAGAAATCTCGGCGCTGGGATCCTGGCCGTGCTTCAAATGGAAGCGGAGCAAGCAAGCGTGAAACATTTCGAAATGGACCCGCTCGTCCAACAATGGTCCCGAGTCCCGAGTGCTGTTCCGTATTCGAGCTCGGGCTTTATTCGAGGGGAGCAGAGTACACCGTCGAATAAGGGGGAAAGACCCTCTGAGGGCAATAAACCACAGAAAAATCTTCGCACGGAATTCGGTGGGACATCACGCTAGAGCTGCCTAACTACGGGGAGCATCGTCGATCCGAACCATCGGAAGGAACGCCACCGGAGACGTTACTATTGACCATGGTCGAACGGGTTTCTGTGTCTGATCTCGTTGATCGTCGTGATGATCGCATTGACTTGACCACGAAGACCTTGTGCAGCGGTAACCCTGCTCGTGGCTTACCCATTCTTCTGGATCGCGAGCGAACAAAAAAAAACGTCCACACTTTCTGGAATCACAAAGCGTCCGCGGAACATTCGCTGGCTCCAATTTAGAAAATGCGGGGAACTTCCATGGGAAGTTTGACGTCTACAGCTGAGGGTTCGGCTCAGCAGGAGCTACGATGAGCGAGTGTTGCGTAAGCCAGAGTTTAAGGGGTTAGATCGAGGGCTGTGTCGGGGGAAGCTCAAAAACCTCGGTTGCGGCATCGGGGAAAAAAGAACCTGACCGAAAATCGAGGGGCACGGGGAAAAAGCTGCGGACGAAATCAACGGAATATGCAAACTTCAGAAAGCATCCCGCGCAAGCGAGAAACGAGTAGGAGGAGGTGCATGAGACTTTAGACCAGACGCTCCCGAAACGTATGCGCATACGTAAGCGACCAAAGACCATCGGAGAGGAGGCGCTTATCGGGAGACATCCACAGGCTGTGTGTCAACAGAGGAATGATTTGCAATGCGGCATGGATGGACTTTTCTCCGAGGGTCTATTCCGAGCGATCACTGCGAGCAATAAAGAACGAATTCGAGAGTAGGGGAAAAACACACTGATTATGGAATGAGGAGAATATGATCCGAAGAAAATCCCTATGGAGACCTCTCATCGTTTCCGAAATCGCAGGAAAGCATCCAGGCGAATAGAATCGATTCCAAGGAGCGAGAACTCGGATTTAAGGGAGAACGTATCATCGTCCTGAAGGGGAAAACTCCAAGGGAATGCCAATGAGGCAGCATTTATCGATTCGAACGGTCTCTCTACGAGGTGAGACATTCCATTTGGACAAATATGCGACAGATCTCACAGAGCTCAAACGAGAAGCAAAACGATGCTATTGATCGAAGAGCTCTATTTGTCGCTTCTATCCGCATCGCCGCACAGCAAACTGACGATGAGATCGGAGCTTGCTGCGGGAAATGATGAAAAAACGTCATGTGACGCTCTACGAGGTAAATCAATGTCTTCTATCCGCACGTGGATTCCACGGATACCGGAACGGCACTGTGACACAACAATCAATTCGACAATTTTTCTTAAAACTTCCACCGTGGCTCTTCTATACAATTCTACTACTACGGTCAGCGCGGATGCTCGCGAAGATCGATTATATAATAGCATTGAAAAGCGGTTCAAGACTGAATTGTGAAACCGAGAGAGTCCATATTTCGTGTGCGATAGACTTAGTTGAGCAACAATCGAGCGCGGGTCCGAGAGAGTCTGTCCGGCTAAGCTCTTACCTTGTTCGCGAGTTGAGGCGACTCTTGGAAAATCACGGCACGAGTCTCGACGGTTTCGGCAGCCTCCCTGCAACAGAAATCAGTGATCGTCAGCTTTTTTCTAAAAATAAGGCTCGCAATTAATACAGGAATGTGTTCGGATCCGCTCACGGAGGCAAACTAATTTCGCCGAGCATGGCGTACTAATGACTTCTCTGACCAGCAACGGGAATGTAAGAACAAGTCGTTCGCTTGGGATTCCAATCACGTCTCCTTCATACCCCACGCGGATGCCCTCCCCTCGACGGATCATGCTTCCTGATTCGTCCTCCCCCCAACCACTCCCTCCTGGAGTATTCCTGCATGCTGCAGCCGCTCTTCTGAACCTCGGAAAATGCCGCATAAATGTTCGAGCCCAGCGCTCCGAGCCGGCCTCAGTTCGAGCTTTGCGGCGAGCACATAACGAAGCCCAGCAATTATTTACTCGAACTCCGGGAGGAGCGCGTTTCTAGTAGTCGATTCCAAAAGCTTCCGAGCAATTTCCAGCTGCCTCCGTGCATTCGAAACCCTTCCAACTCTACTTGATGGAGAGATCGTGGACTCTGTAACTTTCTTCCGGTGCTCCTCCTTGTCCCCGGCATCTTCCTCTCCGGATTCCAGAAGAATCAGCTGGAATCTTTCGAATTATACCCAACGGAAGCAACTCTTTCGTTAGGGCGCCCTGCTCAGATTGACGGGGGATTTTCTCGTCGAATTTGCAAGACTCCGATGGAGACGAGAAGACTTGATCGGATCCCATGCGCCGCCAAGTTGGATTCGGAAAATATCGTTTTCAGAGAAAACCTTCGAATGGGATCCTGCCTCATGGGAGTTCTCATCATACGCATTGTCATTGTTTTGGATTTTGGACATAGTGATCCGTCAAAGTCTATCTAGTTTCTGGCGCAAGCGGTCGGCACACGCCGGACAAAGCCTTCAGGTGACGTAATTGACAAGATCTTAAAGACGATCCAGCGTACATTGGAATTTGGACGGTTCAGACTACGCCATCTGACAACTTCCGAACGCGAATACCGATCTCACCTCATTCGTAAGAGGGGGCGAGCTGAATTCCTGACAAGCACAGCCATCATGAGCTCAATACGCGAGCCCGGCTCGAGCAAGTTATCGAGACTGAATCAAATCAAGCTGTGATTCGAATGACATCTCACGGAGATCCTCCCGAGGAGGAATCTCGTGATCGAGAAGGGTGTTAAGGAGGCGACCACTACACATCATGGGACACGGCATGAATTCGCAATCCCACACCTCTCGGACGCGTCATCTTGAGCTGACGCATGCACGGGATTGCCTCCATCCATTCGCTCGAATTTCATGAATCGGAGACTAGCTCTCTAATCAGATTCGAGCTCAGATCCAAATCTCTGGCCTTCGGATTCGAAGTCGACAGTAGGAGAAATTTTCTACGACGCACCATCGGCCGGTAGGAGGTCGGCCGACTCCTAACAGCACTTAGGCGAAAACCTGTGATCTGTCAGCCTGCGAGAAACTTTCGCAAAGCCACGGAATGAGGCTTTGCGCCTCCTCCACCACCGACTCATAGCTCGTACGGAGGTTTTTCTGGGAAATGAAGTTGAGGAAATATTGCAGGAGGACATCTTCTCATCGCAGAGTTTCGCAATTTCCTAGAGGAGACCGTAATTAGATCGAGTTCTTCCCCAGCTTTGGGAGTTCCTCTGATCATTCTCGCTAGACTGAAATATGTGAAGACGAATTTCTCGGGATCACATCGAGATAATCATCCAAGAATGGATGAAATTCATCGCATACAGCGAATAATCGAGGCTTCGGCTACTGCCTGCGATTCAGAGCCGGCTTGGTAACCCTTGCGGAGCCTTTGCATGGACCGCGAATCCATCGAGTGGGGCTCCTCGGTTGAGTTTCCTATTTTTCCTCTGCTCTTCTTCCGCCTTCTCCGAGCTCCCACGAGCTGTTTTTCCGCAACGAGAAGAGCTACAGAATCGGCTGCTCGAGGCTCGGAATACACCTGCGGTGTTTTCTTTGGGTCTATTCTCGTACTCGAGTACGGCGTCGACTGAGGAGAAATCACGAACTTGAGCGACGCGTAGCCTCCACCAATCGAGTTCGGAAGCGCTCACAGCCTCAGAGCCCCCTGTAAGAGAGTCTAGCCACCGGGACGACCCCCTTTGATGCAGGTCAATTCCCTAAAAATAAGTTCCTGTTGACTCTCGAATTCAGTCGTCGAATGCTTGAGCACCGAGTGATTCGTTCTATTTCCATCCCGGGAACCGAGACGCTCCTACTCAAGAATAGCAACAGATCCGAGGGTCGCAGAAACTTCGGGAAGGACGATGAAGGATGATCCTCGAAGTTCATGAGGTGAGTCGACGACTAGCGATAACAACTTCGATACGAGACTGTTTCCGGGGTATCTCGGTAATCTGTCTCGGTAATCTCTTAGGTCATCTCACTCCCTAAGTCAGGGGACGCGAAAAAAGGGATGCCAACCCCCCCAAGGAATTGAAAGCAAGGCAAAGATGCTTTGCCTTGCTGTGAACGTATCGAGCCGGAGCTCCGATCATTTCAACTTGAATGGGTTCGATTCATGGCAAAGAGTATTCAGGGACGCCTGATTCATCGTCGCCCGTTTCAGATCGCTCTGATTCACTTCAGAAACCTCGCGTACGAACGTCCACTGCATCGCAATTCGAATTGACTGCATTCGATGCTTCGGAAGACGCTCTAGCATGCGTTCGATGCCCCACGGGGAAACCTCCTCTGAATTCCCTGACTCGATCACGAATCGTGAAATTAGGGTATACATATACATGCTAAATTATTTCCCGGAGACGTGAAATACCGGTTTCCATATGTCGATATTATCGATATTTCGCTCGACTACTCAAACTGCTTTTGACAGCTCATCACTTGAATTCCGATCAACTCAGCGATCAGGGATCAGATTCGAGAGAGAAGAATCTCCCGCATCGTTGTGTCGACAAATGACGTTGTTCATACGAAAGACATGGTCTCGGAGGTATTCTAGCAAAAAGCAGCGGGATCGATCGAGAAACTGTCGGCACAGATAGAATCTTCGATCGCAACATCACAGCCGATCGCATGGATCGCACTGAATCGGTGCGAAATCTCAGCGGACCTCCCAGGACAATCTTTTCTCAAAACTGTCCCCGTTCCGAAGCCGATTCCAGGCCGGAAAACTACATGTCGGTCGTTTAGTCGGAGCCAGCTACGCCGATGATGATTTCTCTGATGCCACTGAAGTCACGCCCTACGAAACTATCAACAAGTCTTCGCGAAGCTTGACAAAGCGCCGAAGGTTCTGTCGGTGGTTCTCCATGCTCGACAGCAGAAAATTTCCGAATCATTCACGGCGAGTGCAACGTTGGCTCTCTTATCGAGACTCCATCCGATCGCCGAGGAGGGTCCGTCGTCGGTATGACCGATAGAGTAACTTCAATTGGCGGTCAGCTGAGCGATATCCGAGACGACGGGCGCTCAACTCGATTGGCAGCTCCTCTCGGTCGCTGTTCGAACTTACTTGTTGGCCTTCGATGAGTTGCGACCGCACACACACATTGCAATGAAGAGAACGGACACGATCAGCACCGATAGCGAAAAGCCTGCCGGCCCCAGAATTGCAACTTCCACCGACATAGTGTTCGTCGATCCTACTTCGCCGCGAACCCACTATTCCTCCTTTTATCGGTGCACGGCGTTTCAAGACATACGTCCACCCTTTTTCACATTTTAACAACGATTACACGGGAATGTCCCTGGAGTCGTGGACCGCATAGCGAGGCGGTTGCCTCCCAACTCATAGAGACTCAGTCCAGCTGCACAGATACGCGGTCGGTGTTGCTGCCTGTCACTACTGCTAGCTTCTCTTCACAGTTCACAGCTCCACCTGCCATGTTTACACTGGAGGGCTACCCTCTCCCCTTGTGGTGATAATGTGGGGCCTTCAGCCTTCATGCCGTACCACGAACGTTGGCGCTGCCCAGAGCTCCGGCTCAACTTTGAGACCGTTGCCGCACTGTTTGACGGGCCCTCCAGATCTCGCCCCTGAGCGCGGGGAGTTGTCGGGAACAGTCCCTTGGTCCAGGCCACAGAGCAACTCTGCGCGAGACAGGAGGGAAATCCGTCGCGTCATGGGTCATGGAACGGATCAGGGAGCGCTGCCCGAATCAAATTATACCGCGTCAGAAACCGAGGTATCTGAACATCTCTGAAACTCTGACAATGCCCCTAGCCCAACTCTCGCATGCGGGGGAGCCCTCGACCTTGATTGGCGGTTCATGAGCACACGAGGAGCCTTCCCAGAATGTCCTGTAGTCAGTGCCTCTTCCCAGAACCTACTTAATATGTGCTCTGCATTGATCTCAAACTCACGGCTTCCCCCGTCATCCATTAAAAGCCTTCAACCAGCTGAAGGAGTTGAGAGCGGTGTATAGATTGTCGGTCACAAATTCTTCGCGCTGTCAGTCAGTGACCTATTCTACGAGAGGGAACGTCCGCTCGGAATCACTGGCGATGACGTGCTCTATTCCTCCCCTGGGGAACCACTGGGATCCTCGCGAGCTCTGCAGACGTCGCGGGGAGTCCTTTCGGCTCGATCTCTAACTCGATTCTCCGAGTGAGATTCTCCATGAAATACTAACAGTCCGTGATACTCATGGCAGGATGTCCTCCGAAACATGCGAGAGGAATTTTGCTTCCTCATCGGGGAACTTGGAACCGGTCTTTTTTATTGCAACCCACTTCCCACTTGCAGCGATCGTGGAAACGTCGCCGGTATCAAAGGAAATGACCTTTTGCCGAGTTCGTTCTTTCTTTCTTTGGAAAATGCTCTTCTCGCGTAAGCGACGACCGCCCGATCTGGCTCAGGTCCGGAGACGGCGGGCAGACAAAGATCATCTTCTGAGACTCGGATCCCGATTTCGGCTCCGAGACCCGCCTGACAGATAGACGTTGAGTCTGTCGAGGCAGACTAGAGTCCTTCTTCAAGCTCGAGAGCTTGACTTCGTAAATGAACTCCCCCACTTCCCCCTGCAGCCTCGTCATAAGCCGTATCACATTTTCGATACCGAAATCATGAATCCCACACACCATCGAATCATAATAAAACATCAGACCTGCGCGACTGACTAGTTTGCCTGGACGAGACACAGAAACCACAGCTACCAATTGGATTTCGAGAGAATCTGCGAAAGAAGTTCCCTATAATGCTGTCCCGAGTGATCTCCAAATCTCTGAACTCACTCAAGAGCCCGTTCGGAGGGCAGACAGCCTGTTACCATGAGAAGGTGGGTTAGACATCCGGCCTTATCCTTGGCCTTGAAGTCATAGCATGAAACTTCCGAGAAGCAGTACCGAATCATTGCCATTGCTCTGGAGACTCGACGGAAGTCCATCCGAGGAGAATATTGATCGACCCCCGTAGCGGTTCCGGACCTACTACGTCGCCTGGACCCGTTGGTAGAGTGCGATGGATGTCAGTACATGAGGTGTAGAGGTGTCGGAGAAGTTGAATCTGACGAATTGAACCTATCAGCCATCTCTTTCGGGACCATGCCCCTGTACTGGGCCGGGCCGCTCACTCGCTCCTCGATCAGAGCCCCGACTTCACTAGGAGTGGAATGGTTTGAGTCATGAGATTACGCTCACCTAGGCAGAGACAGAGGCGAATCAGCGAACGCAGTGCTGCGTTCAATAAGCGTGACTGTCATACGATATGGGTACAATGGGTGCGATCCCGAGAGCCTTGTCGAATCTAGGAGGATGGATGGTTGAGACTTCCCGTGTCGATTGAAGTTCTTGACACCATGTGTGATCGTTGATCCTTGATTGCGATGTTGGGAAGTGCGGGCGCGACAAGGCTTCAGAAGGCGCAGATCAGCTCAGCATCGTATCATTGGTCTCAGACGATCCCTGAGTCAGCAGTTCCCTCCCGCATTCAGGAAGTTGCCTCCTTTGACTTCCACGTAGTCATCTCTTGTGCACCTCTGATGGTCTTTCTCAGTTGAGTGGGTTCTCGATCGGATATTGAATGAATTCTCCTCGCAGGTGATCGATCACTACGAGAATCCGAGGAACGTCGGTTCTCTCGACAAAACTTCAAATAAGGTCGGAACCGGACTGGTCGGGGCGCCGGCTTGTGGAGATGTCATGCGTCTCCAGGTGAAGGTTGACGACCAAGGCAAAATAGTCGAAGCTAAATTCAAAACTTTCGGCTGCGGTGAGTGATTTTCGGAACTCAATAATTCCCAGAGGAGGAACTGACAGAAGAGCGATAACTCATTCAAATTGTCTCTCTCTCACAGCCAGTGCGATCGCGTCATCCTCGCTGGCCACAGAGTGGATTAAGGGAAAGACAGTCGACGAAGCCCTACGGCTCAAGAACACGGATATCGCCAAAGAGCTGTGTCTCCCGCCGGTGAAGCTACACTGCTCGATGCTCGCCGAAGACGCGGTCAGGGCTGCTCTTGCGGATTATCGAATCAAGCAGAAACCGGAAGCGGCATCAGATAAGCCATAGCAAGCTCGGTCGCCACGCGACTCCGATGGATCCCTCCAGCCTCAGCTGAGGGACGACTCCCGGGCATTCAGCGCGAGCTTACACCACATACAGATTTGAGTTGTTATCGATGGATCTTAGATTGTAGTCATGCGCACTGACGACTGGCGAAGTTCGGGATTCAGTCCGAAAGAAATCTTAGTGGTTCGACGGGAGTCGCCGCCAACCAATCTGTGATCGGGGAGGCCTTATCATGGGGAAGGTGAGAATCGCCAGATGTTGATGTACATAAATAAAATTCGTTGGTTAGACAAGCGAAAGTGTCTTAAATGCCTCCCCCAGATCGACCATTGTATTATATCGCATCACGTCTCATATCCCCCTGTCTCAAGGGAACAGCTCGATCGTGCTCCTTGATTGTAAATCAGCAATGATGAAATGTCACGGACGAAATTCTTCCTAATGACCCAATAGCTATGCAGAAGGAACAGCCTTCCCCCGTGGTTTTTGAATTCGTGGTTCCTTTCATCACGACGGAGACAGCCCCATTCTCGCGAGTGATGGTGGCGGTGATCGCCGCGTTGAGCTCGGTGATCGCCGCGTTGAGCTCGGGTCGCTGCTCTCATCGCCCGCCTAAAGAGCTCCCGATGACGAAGCGTCAAGTCCCCCACAAGTGTCGGTGGCTGAAGAAAACATTGATTCGGTGCCGCCGCTATCATTGTTCGAAGCGTGTTTTTGAATGAAGTGTTCTATCGGACCTCCTCTGTCGTGAATTGATCATCTGTGAGTAATCCCGTGGGATCTATGGGGAGCCTTGGGAAGCCACGGAAGGAGCTCGATCACTCGCATATCAGGAGCCCGCATCTGTTCGATTGACCGGTAAACCGTTGGATGGCGCGAAGACATCCCTGCGAGTCCGCCTGGAACGGTCCATACGGGAGAACTCCGACATTTACCGCTTCTCCACGTCCAGATTTGGTGGTGACGTTCCGCATTTTGTTCCCCTTGAAATTCCCGATTCGAGGGCTCTATCTACTACGATGTGAACGCTAAAGACATCGTAGCCCGCCGAGCGACATGGTCATGCCTAAAGTTTTGTTTGAGCACCTGAGACTACCACAATCCCCGTCTATATAGATACGACGGAGAATCGTACATATATCTCAGGAGTAATGGTCTCGGCCGTCTCCGCAGTAATCGAACATTGCCTCGAGCTTGATAGTTTGAGACAATATTGCTGCTCGACATCGCACATTGCCGGCGGCTGGAGCGTTCGAGGCGAGAATCGAAGCGGAGTAGCGATGGAGCAATATCCTGGAGCGAATGATCGGAATTCGAACTTTCCCCAACTAGATAATCAGCCACTGCATCATCTAAAGAATATTACTTCGATCGAGATTGAGTCTTCAGAAAACTCTTGCAGGTCAGAAATGTCCGGCGAGCCTACGCAGAACGAGATCGCTCTGCAAGACTGTCCCACGGACGGGATCTCAGCTGTCAAATTCAGCAACTCTTCAAATCAGTACCTCCTCGCCTCCTCGTGGGATGAGTACGTCCGCGTTTATGACGTTCAGCAGGATCGCTGCAAGCACAAATTCGACCACACGAGTCCAGTTCTAGACGCATGTTTCTACAACACTACCCACATCTGGAGCGGAGGTGCCGATAAGACGGTCCGCCTATTCGACCTCCATTCCGGGGCCGATCTCCGGGCTGGAACACACGACGATGCGGTTCGGTTAGTCCTGCGTTTTTTGACCTTCTAGTGCGTCAAATTGAATCGCATGCCCCGGATACCTTGACGGATCGGATCGTATTCGGAGCGATTCGTTCCGGTTGGGGGATCGGATTCCTGATCGGAATGGATGGAGATCGTGGAAATTCACTCGATCGTTTTTCAGATGTGTTGAGTACATCCCAGACGTCAATCAGATCGTGACGGGCTCCTGGGACGGAAACATCAAACTGTGGGACCCCCGACGACCGGTGGGAGCCGTGAGCACGCACGCCCAGGATAACAAAGTCTACACTCTCGCAGTTTGCGGAGAAAGACTAATTGTAGGCACCGCGAACCGCAAGATCCTCATCTGGGACCTCAGAAACATGGCCTACGTCCAGCAGAAACGGGACTCCTCGCTCAAGTTCCAGACGCGGGCCATTCGAGCTTTCCCCGATCTCACGGGCTACGTGCTATCATCGATCGAAGGCCGAGTAGCCGTCGAGTACCTCGACCCGTCGCCCGACGTACAGAAGAAGAAATACGCCTTCAAGTGTCACCGAACGAAAGAGAACGGCATCGAGAACATTTATCCAGTCAATGCGATCGCTTTCCACAGCAAATACGGCACTTTCGCGACGGGAGGAAGCGACGGGTTCGTGAACATCTGGGACGGCAACAACAAGAAACGTCTCTGTCAGTTCCATAAATTCCCAAGCAGCATCGCATCCTTATCTTTCTCGCCCGACGGTAGCATGCTAGCTATCGCCTCGAGTTTCCAGCATGAATACACCTTGGATCCGAATGTCGAGCCCCCGCCCGACCAGATCTTCATTCGTCACGTCACAGACCAGGAAACGAGACCCAAATGAAGCCCCCCTCTTCGGATAATTGCCTTCCTATTGTACAATATATCGAATTATTCCTCCATAATCCTCCCGCCTTCAAGAACTCGTATACGAATACGGCAGGGGGAAATATGGAGCTCCGGAACGTAGACTCAGACCGACCGGCTATTACTCACCATGCCTGGACGTCCATGAAAGCCAATAGATGTTTGCGCTTCGGTCCTGATTTCCGGGCTGTCGGTTCGACGGGGAGTCCGATCATAAGTGAAATATACGAGACAAGATTTCCGGCGAAGATACCCTCTGTTATTTTTTCCCACATCGAAAACAACAATTCAAAGGCGAACAACAAGAAGCGTCATCTGCGAACGCCTCGCTTTCGATCCTAGAGGCATCCGTGGCTTTCAAGTGTAATAATTATATTATCATCGATTTAAAGTAGGTACTACGATATGGAGCTTGGTATTCGACGGCCAGGGATCCGAGATTCGCTCCTTCATATGATAAGACTTATTGTACAGTGATGCAGCATAGCGATGATGATCGCTCCATCTAAATTTGGCCATTCGGTTCAACAGTGGTAAAGTTCAGATATGTCGAAATGGTCGTCAGCATAGCCGTCGGTGTTGAGGCGGAGACGGTGCTTTCCGGCGTTGCCGTTGTAGTTGAACTTGTCGTCGACGAGTTCATCATCGCCCCTACGGTCTTGAGGATAATCGAGGTCGCATTCGTTAGATGTGTGCTTAAGAGCTCCGTCGGTAGCGGAGTGGGCAAAGCCGTCGCTCGCACAACTCCAGCCGCCGTAGAGATCGGAGCGCTGAAGCCAGCATGGAAAAGAGTCGGGTGCTGCATCGATGCGCATGGTTCATTGGTTCGCATTTTTTTCACCCAACCCTGTATGAGGTAGGCTACGAGAGAGCCTGTTGTCAAGCCCACGCTGTAGCTGAGCGTCATTATGTTCCCTGCGGAGGACAATAAGATCGAGGAACAATGGATGAGACCAGTTACGGAGAGGAACTGTCGCAGACTTCCAACTCTTGTTTCATAATCGGTGTATCAGGGGGCTCATGACCGGGGATTTCTGGCGCAAACTCACCTGTCAGCTCTCGGTACTGATGCGGAACCTTGCTTGGAGCGACAATCATGGGAACGCTTCCTAGAACTCCGTTACTCACGCCGAGCACCAGAGATAGAATCATTGACCACATATCGTCGAGAGCCGTCGTCTTCGCGCTCGGCAGAGCGCACATGGCGATCCATGGCACGAGTATCACTCGCCCCAAAGAGTAGTATAACATTGAGTTTTGGCTAAGTTTATACGAGAAGGATGCGAGCATCTGGAAGAGCGGCAACGAAAATCAGTTCAGAACAGCGTCAACGATCGGGATGATCACAGAAAAATATTAGGATCCGAGTCGATCGATCCGAGCCGATCCCCGGAGTCGAGATCATGGTCGTGCGAGTTCGAGCGATTGAGGTTCTTCCGAACTGACCTTGCCACAAAAATCAGAAACGTTGAAAATCGCCATAAGAATCACAGGCATCCAGCTGCCGAGGCTACACGAAACTATTTGGGACTCAATTCCGGGGAAAAGGCAGAGTGTGACGAAGTACGCCAAGGCAATACTCAGCATATAAGGCCAAACGGACCGGGCGACTTGGAAACGGTCCGTGAAGCCCTCTGTAATGAGATGGGTCCGCTCAGTCTTCGCTAGAGAATAATTCGAACCGAATAGGAATCTACCGTCGAAGTACTATCCCTCGTTTCCACGGGGAAGCTTGCGGAGCCGACTCACTTTTGATGGCTCTCAGCCACTGCACGCGTTTCGTGGCAGCGGTGCCTCTGATTTTCACTACAACGTCTTGTACTTTGAAACGATGACGGCCCTCAGACATGTCGAGATCGTTGCTCGAGAGCCACCTGATCTGATGCGCTGCCAATCCATAATTCGCCAGCTCCTCTTCAATCTGGAACGGTTCCGAGTCCTCAATGCCATGATAGCTCAAACAGACACGATCCGCCGTTGCGGGGACCGCATCAACTCGAATTCTTGATATTGGCCAAACGAGATCTCTGGCTGTCGACGTCAGGTTGAAGGTCTGCATTGAGACATTTGATGATGATTGATTGATTGATTTATTAACCATCCCTGGTGTTACAAGATTGTGAATCACCTGGCGAGGATCAGCGAGAGGTTCGGACAGAAGATTCACGTCCCCGGTCTCGACGGTAGGAGAGGTCGGAGGCGACCTGAATGAGAGCACCGCGTTCTGAGGGACTCTCGGAGATGCTCCATCATCATCCGCCGTGTCAACCTGGATTCGAGAGAACTCGTTATCCGCCTCCTGTCGGCTGGGTCGATGAGTACCTACTATGGATGTTTACTGGAACCCGATTCAAGCGAGCGCATTGGGAGGCTTTACCAAATGCACATCTTCGGTATCGTCCTTGTTCAAGAGTTCGCTCCGCACCCCCGACTGAAGCTGGTCGCTGAGAAACACTGTGTTCGGAGTGCAGTGCTGACGGAGGTAATAAGTAACGAAGGCACAGCTCTGCAGTTTTGAATAGATGATTATGCATGACACGATTAGGACTACTGATATGAAGAAGAACAGCATCGTGTTGATTCTTTCGTCCTTCAACAGGAACTTTGTCGATATGCGATTCAGCGACGCAATCAAACCCGCGGCGCCTGGGAAAAAAATTATTTTCGGTACGACTCGCTTTCTGAGAATGGGAGGGAAGGGAAGCAAACCGCGCGTATGGATCTCTCACCCGTCTTCATAAAGTCAAAAGACAGCTTGACTCACTTTCTCCTGTCATCACGGCCTGAGTGTAGCGCGCGGGAAGCATGCTGGTGTATCCGTAGAAACTCGACTGTTGCACTGCACGCAGAATATAGAATCGAGTCATCTCGAAGTCGGGAGAGGAATAATCCTCTACCCTAATAAGGAGCTGCGGAATATACGCCTCATACCTAAGAAAACCTCCTCCAGAACGAACCTGTGCATCCGAATGCGACGATCGCTACCGCTAGCAGGTTTACGGCGTATCCCGTATCGTGGTCGAATACATCCCATCCGATTTCGAATAGAAGAACGAAGACCAACGTCACGCACGAGACGACGTAACCGAACGCAATTCTTGTCGTGAAAGGAAGAGCCTCCACGAGAACGTTGTTGATGCATACGGCAACAAAAGCGACGAGAATGTAGCATAGAGACATGTCAAAAAGTATCAACGTTTTGGGGTACTTGTCCTGGAAGATAAGAACGCTTTTGTCGGGGGGAAATTCGACGGACTGCCCCATATCTGTATGGTCGGTCAGATAACCCGTCCCGAAAAAGCATCGAGCCCGCGTGAGCTCATCATGGGCTCTCTACCATCCCACGTCAATTGGGAGGGCATCGCGCAAGCGATCTTACCTGGAAGTAGTCGCAGGCTGTGATGAACGAGTTGTAAGGTACAAGAAAGCCGATACCGGCGAGCACTAGGCCTAAATAAACTAGGTGATAGTTGTCACGCGGCGCATCGTGATCCCGTTCCGGACCGCGCTGCCGCCGGTTGAGTTGAACGTAACCCCTACTGAGGTTTTCATCCATGATTTGCCTGCGTTGAGAGCATTCCTCGCTCCAGCAGCTGCTTCTGCTCTCGTTGCTGGTGGTGCTGCCGCTGCTGCTCCCGCAGCTGAGGACCGAGGACAGCTCAGAATTCCGTGTGAGGGTAAGTGAGAGGGAGGGCTCTCCGTCTAGGATGGCGCAAATCTTCCCGCATCTACAGGATCCTGAATTCGGTGCCGATGTGACGGAACCGCAGAATTCGAATGGAAACCCTCCGTTTCGGAGAATATTCGTGCTCCACCCCTCGTTCGACGGGAGTTGGGGGCAGCAGAGGAGCTCCGTGAAATCGCGCGATTCCTTCCGAGGAGAAGCTCGTCAAGGGTATCGAGTTGCTCGAAATGTTTCGGGCCATTCCAGCCGGACTCCAGTCGATCCACAATTCGAGTCGAGTCAGGCGATTAGCGTCGGTCGCTCGCTGAGAAACGACTGTTGCCGAAACTTACTTAGGCCTTAATTCATGTATCTATGATTGCTCCAGGCTCGGATTCCCGACCAGAAGTGGAGACGTAGGGAAGGAGGCGGAGTGTTTTCCCTCAAGCAGAGACGCTGACACCGCATGTTCATACGAGCGCTTTGATACGTGCACTTTTCCTCTACAACCGAAACAACATGGGAGGTTCCATATGAGACGACATCGACAATGGAGAGTTTTGAGAAAGTGTCGAACATTCTGACAGTGATCTCGTGGGTCTCTGGGGTGCTGAAGTCCAAATCCGAGACCCGGATCGCTTCCCTCGCAGATTTTGAATCTTTATCGCTCGTGCGCTAAGAATGCAAGTCGACTTTCTTCCGCAACGTCGACCCGAGGACGTCGAGAACAGCGATGGAACCTCACTCTCTCAAGACACCCCTATCATCTCTCCAGACGGATCGCCGATCGAAGGTCTTTGCAACCCATTGTGGGGTCCTGAGTCACTGTTCAAATGTGAGCGTTGCGGAGGGTCCTATTCCACCGCCGTCTTTCCCACGAGTGCCACCGCAGGAGGCGATATATCCATCGTTGGAACGAGATGCGTTTGTCGACTTGGTGACGTTAGCGTAGAATCCCAGATCGATTCACAATCGTCGTTCGAAACCGACTGGATCGAGAATTCCAGTCTCATGTCGGAGATTTCCGCCCTCCTTGATGACGAGGAACTCCGAGCGGTTTTCACGATAGCGGATTCGCAACATTCTGAGGGTAATCCACTCGATTCGATGGAAGAAGATTCCCTCGTCAGTCTGGAGAAGAGCGAGCTGTTCTTCTACGAGAACCCGTTCCGTCCAGACGTAATTTCCAGCCCGATGAATCGTGAGGTGGACAACGCAGAGTTCTTCAACGTGGACGAAACGCCTCGTTTCGTGAGAATGAACTTCGAGTGTAGAGACATGACTCGAAGAATTGAAGGGGATCAAGATTGTTCTGAGAATGTTTCCGCGGAAACTCTCCGCGTAAAGGATATCAGATCTTCAGCGAGGAAGGAGCAGAGAGTGACGACGGTGGGGAGCAAGAAGACGGCGAAAAGAATCCGATCTCTAACAGGGAAGTGGAGGATCATGGAGTTTCATCTGAAGGAGTCGAGCATCAAACTTTACCTCAAACGCGAGGTGTCTCGGGGGCGGGCGGTGACGAAAGTTCGTACGACGTCACGAGTCCGGTGAGTTCCCGCTCATAGACGCTGCAGAGGCCGCATATCCCGTTCCCGGAAAAAATCCAAAAACCTCCTTTGTGCTGTTCGGAGGATCAGAAGTGGACCGGAGAGTGGGAGTCAGTGTGGAGCAAATGACCTTGTGGAGTACTCCTCGTGAACGATGCGCCGCTCGAGGGGGCTCTCGCGTTGTATGAAAGCTGTATCTACCTTAATTCCGTTGATTTAGTGAACATCGATTCTTGTACCACATCGACTGTTTACATGACTCGTTCGAGCGCGCAGAACAGAGGAAAGTGTGAATAAATTCAGCGTCGAATTTCGCACGAAAGGTGTGTTTCGCCTCTCGTGCCAACGGCAGTTAATGATGATATGACTGTGCTCGAGAATATTTCGGTGTTTTCCAATCTGATTGAATTTGGAGGGGATGCTCCAATCGACGCTCACCCAAAGCGAAGGCTGGATTATCGTGGGGTATGCCCTCCAATTAGAGGGATTGCCGGCGGAGGAATGAGAACCATGATTCCATAAAGTTCAATATATTTCGACTTTATTGTAGCATCTCTTCTCCAGGGAGGCGAGTCACTCGTTCCGAGTATAACCCCCTTATCTGCATAAGAACAGAGTTTTCTCGGCTTCGGAATGCAACAAATGTATCATGAGAAATCCAAGTATCGTTGTAATGTGCTATGCTCCCGCGGGAGAGATTGGTTCACATTGAGAAATACCCTTCGGAGGAATTCAACAGAGGCCTCGGACGAAGCATAAATTGGGAGATGGCGAGTTTCGATCCCCACGGATCGGCGACTCAAATTCCCAGAGCAATGACTAAGGATCGTCAGCGAGATTCACGGAAAGACGATAATAGGAGGACAGCAACACCAGAGGAGATTTTCCAGGCGACGCCTACTATCCTTCAGTGAAAATGTAGAAATAATTCGAAACGACGCATTATCTGGAATCGCGCTGTTCAGGCCATATGCCAATTTTTCTACGGCTACTCCGGTCTACTCCTACTCACAACCGCGGTTGCTTCGTCAGAAGGCTCAAAATACGAGACATATTCGAATCCAAAGTGAGCGGCGCCAAGCATCAGAGAGGCGTCTTCGAAAAACAATGAAGAGAAGGGTAAGAAAATCTCAGCAGATTGAATCTCATGCCGTGGTGTTCTTCAACCAGTGCTTGAGCTGCGAGCAACATTCGCAGGATCACGGCGCAGTCGCAAGATTGTATAGCAAAAAGTCTCACTCTCGACAAAACACTTGGGAAGAACGCTCAGGATCTAGCTGAGTGAAAAATTCATTACGCAAGCTACAGCGAGCCCGAAAGCTCAGGGCTGGAAGGTCCCGGGAGGCCCGGTTCTGGATTCTCCCGCCCCACCCGGAATGAATATCTTTGGTGCAACACAGAAGGGTGAACTATGGGATACGCTATAAAAAGTGTCCGCGTGGTGTTCGCGTTTGTTCAGGGGTGTTCTATTAAAAGTGGTCGATAAACTCTGGAGGGAAAATGAAAAAATCGAACTATCGAAGTTACACAATAAATCATTGGCTATCGATCACGGTGAGAGATGTCAACGAGTTTGCTTCCGAGTATAATCAGGTTGCAACGGCCGCACTCTCCTGAGGATCATCTTCTCCCTCTCTCACTTCCTACAGGACGATGAGTAGCGTTATGACGAAGATCAGAATACACGTCAACAGAATTATCGCGAACCACTGACGCCGATCGTTGGACATGTTCAGGACCTGCGGAGTACAATATCGATGTTGAGCGTGACCATTCCAGAATCCGCAAATGCCTGTGACACCCTGATGCTCAGAGGGGCAAGTTTTTTGAGAATGGAAACGTTCGTCGTTCGTGGCGGGAAAAAAGCGAAACGCTCGAAGAGTGACGCACTCCTCGTGGCATCGGCAGGGAAAGGCTCGAGAAGAATTATTTGTTTTGGGGGCTATCGCTCTCAAAATCACACTCAAAAAGCGCTCCACCTACCTTCGCCATTTTTTTCAGCGCTACATCGACTTTATTCTGCGTTGATTCTATGTCGTTGCCGAGGTCGTCGAGCATCATGTTCTGTTCGTCCAATTCAGAGTTGATCTGTTTCGACATCACCTGCGGGGAGCGCGATCAGCCGTCACTCAGAGGAACGAAGCAGCCGTGACGACGCGTCGTCGTCGACGGGAGACCATTGAAATCAGCTGACCGCACACCTTATTACGCTCCGAGCGAAAGGTCGTGGACCGAATGTCTCACCTTCAATGTACCGACTGTGGTGTGTATCTGATCTAACTCGTGTTCCTGCTGATTCATGAGGCCACGCTGGATTTGAGACGCACGCCCCGCCATAACTCGGTGTTCCGGAGATTCTTCGTTCCGGAGCGATGTGTAGCCCGCACCAGCGCCTCTCCCGAAAAGATCCTGCCAAGAGCAACTCCTATTGAAGACATATGATGCGGGATCGAGATCTCCCGGGAATTTCGATCCAAGCCCCGTCGGATTGAATACCGACTGAGAAGGCTTTTCGTGAGGGTGCACTCGCCGGGAATGCGAGAAATTCCCAGGGAATCTTCCCGGAAATTCGGAACTGATACGTACCATTCCTGGTGGTTTTTTCTTTGGTTTCTTCTGATTGTCTGGTCCCATAACAGCTTCTTTCATCTGATAAACCTGCAATATTCCGGAGTAGATGCAACTGACTCAAACAACGTCGATATGACTCAGATTGCGATTGAAAGGATGACCCTTAAATGTGTACCTCATTCTTCACGGCTCCGATAAATTCCTTCCGCGCGAGGACCTCCTCGGATGTCAGTCTATATCGGCGTATATTTTTCTCAAGATTCGATACGGTCTCTTCGAGGTCCTCCACGTCCCAATCGATCGATCTGTCGGAGAATCAAATTCCAGGAGTCCTGAATGATAGCTTGCTGAACTCTGAAGACACATCGGCGATCGATAAGAAGTTCTGACTCACCTCAGCGCGTTCCGGAGTTCGTTAGAAGTCCACTCCACCTCTTCCTGTTGGTAGCAAGATTATTGTGTCATGAAACAATTCCACGGGAGTAGACCGGAACGATTGTGGTTTCTACCACGAGCGCATGCGTTCCCCCCGAGGATGAATTCGATCATAGAATCAGATTCCGAGAAATCGATCGAAGAAGAATCATTGCGAGATGTATGAATGCTTCGTCCAAAGGGACAGATACGGAGTGAAGCAGAGGAAACGGATAGCAGGTTTTATGTACTCTCGAAATCATCTATTTGCTATCCGAACTACGGATTCCGGAAACAAGTAATATACCTTCGATCTGCTCTGCAGCTTAAGCTGAGACCATTGGCTGTAAAGGAGACGGCTCTTTTCCAAGGCGCGGCTAATGTCCCTGAAGCAATAGGTTAAGAGTAAAGATGAGAGAGGAGGAAGCGTTATAGGGGTTCACATGGAATCGACTCGGATAGCAGCAGAGCGTAATCATCGTGGAAGCTCATCCGACTTCAGCTCGGCAGGTGTTTGCGGAATAATCGAGGGATTCGGGGAAGTTGAGGAATGGTGTCCATAAACAAAAACATCCACCGGGCAGCGCGGACTACCACTTACTCAGGCGCATCAAGAGAGCGGTCCAGAAAAAAAAGCTCCCCATTCTGAAAGCTGAGCTTTCAGTGATTGGAGCCCCCGCGGTTCTCAAGGCACCAAACGTGAAGCTCGCTAGCGGCTCAAATCTTTGATGGACGCCTCATTTACAGTCTGCCTTGCTTCGGATCGTAACCGCTCCCGAAGCCTACACCGAAGCGACTACGAAAAACGCACCGATTGCTTCACGATAAACTGCGAACATCGTCTGATGATGATGATTGATAATTTATAAAATCATGCGGAGAAGATTGGGAATTTTCATCAACAACCATTGCAATCTTCGCAATCGGTTGTCAGCGTGACCGGAGCGGAAAGACTCCGAGTTTTGCAACCTGACTCGCCATAATGGCTTGACAAGACACCACCGTTGGGAGCATCGAAGTCTGCGGAAGCGAGCGATCACGGACGGTAAGGATCGATGGAATACAGCTGTCAAGGTTGTCTCAGGAAGTTCCCGGAAAATTTCGGGAATTCTCCCCCAAGAATCGTCGCCCACAACCCACAACGAAGATCGTCCCATCTCGACCGAAGAACTCACAGGTCGGAAGGAAGTGCCGTCGATGACTTTCAAGCGACAGATATCTGATCTATAAAGAATTGCTGGGCCTTTTTGTTCACCCCAATCGAGGAATTACGCGGATCCGAGCAGTCGTGATCGCCCCTCTCGATGATTCGGAAGCCAAGTCTACTTAGCAAGCGACGGCCAGGCAAATACACAAATGTCAAAAGGCTCAGAGCAGGCTTCAAAATGTAAATAATAGCATGCGAGAAGCTCTTGCAGTAACAACGCGATCGAGCCTAACCTGAGAGAGCTTAGAAAGCGTGATAGTGGGCACGCTCGAGCGTCGCGCAACGTACTTTCGGCAAAACTTACTCCTTGCACGTAGGATACGGGTCTTCCATGATAACTGTTCAATCTGTTCTAAAACAGCACCACCATTCCCTCAGAACCAGCTGTCTGTCCGCAGCACGACTGACTGAACTGCTGTTGATGATGACATCACTTGCTAAAGCCCCCTCGCCCCCTCCTCGAAGGCTCCGGGCATACTGAAAGATCCTGAGATGGGAGTCGGGAGTGGACCGTGATGCGAAACGATTCCCCCGCGACTTGTGACGAATCAGAGACTGGGAGTGAAGAGGTGGAAAACCTGTTCTTGGAGCGATAGTGGCGATCCGAGAGCGCTCCGAGGGTGCGGAGCGTTTGGCGGGAAATTTCAAAAAAAATTACAAACGAACATTCTCGGGGACTGTCAAGCGGATCGAATGGATAACGGAAACATCTATCAGACTCCGGATCACCCGGTCGACTGGAGCGACGCACGAGGATAGTCACATCCGTCATCCTCGCGGATCGAAGCTGAGGAAAAGAACACGGTGTTCTTTCTGCGAAGGACAGAGCGCGCCAAGTTCGAATGTCTGTCAAAATCAAATTCATTCTGGTGATCACTTTCGGAAATGAAGACTTGAGAAGCATCGAGCCCTTCAAGAAGCTTCCGTCTGCGCCGCCGTTCCTTTCTTGGTTGTTCGGTGAAAATTGTTTCGGCCAGTCCAAGGCGGTACATTGAATCGACTCTCGGCTTCGTCGAGTGAGTTTTTATTGTTTACAACCGCTCATTCCGTTCTGCGCCAGGCTGCGCGTTGCTCGGCCAGCTGATGAATCGTGCCGATCAAGCTCGGCGGCCTGAATTGAGCGTCTCGATTTGCAGCAGTGTCGGCATTTGCGCGCAGAGTTCTCATTCAATGTTTTGACAGATTCCTCCGAGAGACGTATAGAACTTCCGTGAGTCTAGTCATCGGAAGACGGCGTCTGAGGTGACGGGAGTCTTCGGTCGAGGAGCGGCACGGTAAAGGTAATTATACCGACTCTGTGCTTCGGATACCGGATAGCAACTCCCCACTCTAGCGATTCGGCATCGAGGAAGACCCTCGAGCCTGCTCATTTTTCCATGCTGATGGGATCGATGGAGCGAAATCGAATTCGGATCGAAGTTTCCTGGTGTACGTGTAGTGTGGTCGCGATCTGTCCGAGCAGGAAGATCTGAAAGCTCTCGCAGCGTCGATGTCCGGAAGTGTCGAGCATCATCTTACGATCGGCGATCTCGCGCTCTGACATATCCGATTCTCCAGATCAGGCATCGGAGTGAACATAGTGTGCCGCTTCACCGAGTCAATAGCTGTGCGGGAATTCGGTATCCGTAGGTGTACATCCGGAGAATAAGATTGAAGAATAGACGGCTCTAAGTCTCTGACGGGTTTTTGGATCGTCGTACCGGAATTGTGAGATATGCAGCTTCTCCTGACGGTCTCCTTCGCGATCCACGGACCGTAGATAACCGCTTTCCTCTATTCAGACGGGTCAAACATGGCAGCTCGGGAGCATTTTGAGGATCCTCACTTCGAGGAGGTTGTTCCGACTGAGTTCTCTATGGGCCTCATCATTAGCAAGGTTGGTATCCTAGGGAGAACAGACTGATCACGCAGAGGAGAATGTCTCTCATCCTTCAGTGCTAAGTTGGTTCCCTCTGGAAGAGCTTTCTCTGTCCGGGGGGGAAATGTTTTCCCAGCCTTTCGGACGTTTCCTCTGAGATCATTCGTGTGACGTTCTGATAGCCGAGAGACCCTCTGGGTCGAAACAATCCGAAAGGGAATAGGTCACACCAGGAACTGCTCGCGTAGTCGCTCATGGCGTGAATCAATTTCAGGTCGATTTCCGAGAGCCTTGGATCATAGGACTTGTGGCCTTCCACTGTACCATGCTATTCTTGTCTGTGGTGAGCTGCTGCCCTAGAAACGCTTCATATCTCACAATTTCACACGAGATCAAAAACGACTCTCCGACTTTGCAAGACCAGTTTAACGCGGACCGATCATCGACTGCGGAATTCCGCGTCTGTGCCGCGGAGCATTGGAGGAGCGGTTGAATATTTCTATGTTCTTTGATTACAGACCACAAGATCAAGGAACAATGTTCAGATGATTCTCTTCAGCATAATGCTCGCTCTCGTTTATTTCTCTGCGACCGTGAACGAATGGGCGGCTCTGAATTGGAACAAGTGAGCATTCCGTTCCACTGTATTCAAGCTACTTACTTTATAGTATCGAGATCTGAGGTCCCTGCTTCCCTTCGGCGGATTCCCCCTAACACATCTGACCATGAATCCTCCTTTTAGAGAGGATCTGCCGCTGAAAGTCGAATCGATTTCAAATTTTAATTACGCAAGGGGATGAGATGAATGATTTTGGGTTAGATTGTGAGTCTGACGGAAGAAATTTCCAGGTTCAGCAAATACCAGTACTTTGATTCCAACGGATTCTTCATCTCGACCGTGTTTTCGGTACCGCTGCTCCTCAATTGCCTCTTCATGGTGAGTGAAGCCTGACCTCAGTCAGTTATCACGAGAGAGGAATTCCCGAGGTATCCGAGTGTTTACTGCGATCAGAATTTCTGGCTCCAGAACATTCGGTAGTTTTGTATCTCGGAAGTCGAGTTGACGATCTCTCTTCACAGATTGGACAATGGCTCTACCAGGCGCGAGATTTGATGGTGGACCTCCGCAAGGTTCAGCTGAAGAAACGGCGACGAGATCAGCATCCGATAAATTATCGAGAACAATATGATGGGAAGGCATCGAAAGATGCTTGAAGTTTTTTCTCCGCCCCAGCTCGAACCAAAGTTCCAAGTTTGAAGATGCTCGTGCCCTGTAATTGTAAAAATTGTGTCCCTAGTTTGTGTTGGGTCTCCGTCCGGAGACCTTCATAGGGTTCAGCCATCTGTAAACAGAGATGTCATGCTGTGAAACACAGGCCACCTCCTATTAGTTTTATGAAGCGCCGCCATTACCACCATTGCCCCCGGAAAATCAGACATTCCGTCGGTTTTCTATAGGTACCGCTCAGTGCGTCGGGCCTTAGCCGTTTTCCTGATGCTCCCAATCGCAGAGAATGCTCGAATAAAGAGTACGAGTTCGGTGATCGATAGGTGCGGCCCCTTTTCAACAGCTGATCCGCGCCACGAGTAAGTTGGAGACTCGATTCGCAGACCCTATACCCTACCGCAGCTCCAGGTGAATCCCGGGAAAATCTTTCCCAACACTTCGGTAATGATGATATTCGTGCCCGGCAATCACCGAGGAGAGGTTTCGGATCGCGCATGCGGCAGGTTGAGCTTGACCTTACCGAAGTATTCGATTGTTCCCGCGCAATACGAGCGATTCCGGATCGAGGGCGTTTTTCTGATAGGTCACTTTCCGAAAGATCAACGCAAAGAGTATAGAGACACGGGAAGGTCGGGGGTTCGACCATAAATTGAGGAGCATGAGGGGGAGTCCCGGAAAGCCTGACGGGTAACTCAATGGACCGTTCCAGGCACGGACTGACGGTCTGACGTTCCAGATGTTCTCCCGCTAGATGAGCGAGTCAGAGCGACGCCCGCCCTCTATGAGTTCATGCTCTCAGAACAAGACAATGGAATGGAAGTTCCAATCCATAGGAGTTAATGAGAGTCGGAGTCTGCCGAACTCAGGGTTCCTCGTTTGCCTTGATAGAACGAGCACGAGCATCGAAGCCTACGCAGAGAGTGCTCCGAAGTGGAATGAAGTGAATTCTGATGGAGACAATCTTTGAACGTTCGCGGAAGATCTCTGCGAGGACATCTTTCTCTCCTCGTGACAGCTGATCCGTGGTTGACAACGGATTCCTCGGACACGTATGGGCTAGCCTCTCATGAGCCGCGCCGATATACGGAAAGGAAGCCATCGAGCGAATGAATGAGTGTGCGATGTTGCGGAACGCGCTGCGGACTTCAACCCTATCCGTCTTTACAGTGTCCGTAGTTCTGTTGCAGTGAACGTTTTTGGTAGCGCATTTAATGGCGTCCGTGATGTGCAGAGCGGAGAGAGCGATTCGACAGCTCAGCTCGGTGAACGAGCGCGTGAGTGAGTCCACCCGACCGACCGTCAGTATTTCGACGACGAGTGAGATGACTGAAATTTCCGCAACGGCAGCCTCACTGCCCGCGCGAGCCGGTCAATGCCCTCGTGTTTACCACTCCCGTCAGCGGTGCGACGACACCAGTGCCTCTGACTCTTTGCCTCTCAGACCGAGGGACCGACTGGCTCGTTGCTTTGCCGATCGCGGACCTTCGACTAAGACTCTTCAGCGCCTGCTCGTGACCGTAGGTCGTTGTTCCATGAACCTCAAACCCTGTTGACTGTCGTCTGGCGGGCATTTCCATAGATCTCTACGAACCCGGCGAGAATCAATGTTCGAAAGTTCCAGGAAGTAGTCCGGCAGAGCTCGGGCGTCAGCGAGAGCGCAGAAAAGCCTTGCATCGCGAGAGCGGACATTCCTCCTTTTTAGGTGTTCAGTTCCCCAACCATCGGCGATTTGAGTCAAGCTACAATTTGCCGTCCCGTGGTGGCGAAATTACGATCATTAGTCGCCAACCGTATCTCATCTTGAGTTCTCCCGATTATATCGACGCCCCATCTGCGGGTAAAGAAGGATACTTGATCCTCAGAGGTCGTCCATGGAAAATAACGAACAAAAGCTTTGAACTCCCGAGGCTCTGCTGAGTGTTGATCCAGGAATCGGGACCTCGTAGAGTCGTAGAAAGTGTCGGAGGCTGGGGATGAAATTTGCTTCGTTCGAAAAGGATTTCGGCTTCTCTCCGGCGCGGAGCTCTTTACTATTTTGATCGAAAGACAAAGAGTGAATCGGAAATAGATTCCCAAGTTCCTTTCTACGAATCGGTGGGAGCCCCAGGGTCACTCACACGACGGTGTCTACGCTTTTTCCACAAGTTCCGAGCGGCTGTAGCAGAGGTAGCGTGTCCCCATTGTCTGTTTCTAGCCGTTGGTAAAGGAATTTGTATAAACTGACGGGAACGAGAGTAACGGGAGAGGTTCGGAGGGGACACCGACGACCTGGTCTCCACCTCCAGAGCGAGAGTCAGGAAATTCTCAGGAGGAAATTTGTCCCTTCGCCTTAAATGAAATGAGGGGTCGCGAACCTCCGAGCGAAAAACATTTATTCCAGTAAAATCAGTCGGACTCTGCGGGAAGCTCCCGCTTCCGCAACGTTGAGAAAGATAAGGCCTGAATCTTCGCCGTGCTTCGAGTCGAGATCTCGATCGAAGCTCCCTCAACTTCCGCGGCAGACCTCACAGAGCTTATAGGCAGTCGTCCAGAAGCCTGCTTCCAAAGTTTTGCCCTTACTCGAACCAGAACAGCACGTTCTATCGATTTTCGAGCATTGCCCGAAATCATCCCATCCCCACGAGAGAAGTCTTCCATCATCCGTGAGAACCACCGTGTGCCGCGAACCACACCGAACGTCCCTAAGTCTGATTCCAACATCCCTCAACTCGGGCAGCCCCACAACATTTCTCGAATCGCCCCTCGGTCCACCGCATTGCCCGTGCTGATTCCAGCCCCATTGGTAAAGATATCCTCGATCGGAGATAGCAGCCGAGTGCCATCCCCCAGCTGACACATGCGTGATATCTAAATCTTCAAGGTGAGCCAAAGGACGGAGTTCTTCATCGGCCGAAAGATCACCCGAACCTCGTTGGCCCCGGGAACCGTCACCGTACACGAACACTTTTCCCTCTGTCGAAAGTGCGACAAGATGCCCGAGACCCGCCGCTATTCGCGAGCATCGCAGTTCCCAAGACTTTGATGTACAGTTCTTGTAGTCGTATATGAGCACATGGGTGGCTGTTCGCAGAGCCAATCGATCTTGAGCCATCATGGATATTTGCAGGACGCCATCCAAATTTTCGATCTCGTGCTCGAAGCCATCGTAGAGACCATGAATGCGGCACTTTCCTCTCCTGACGATCGCAAAATGGTCTCGGGACAGGCTGCAGTCATCGACGGCAGCCGTGTCGTCGGATACGACTTTTCCTGGAAGTTGAGACAGTCGCCGTCGTCCACGGAGCCTTTTCAAGGAACCCGATCGATCGGGTGGGATCCTTCATAAGGCTTAATATTGTAATGCAAGCGCTCATTGTATTTATTTAGAAATATTCTTCGAATGTGGAGGAGATGAGGTCTAACCTGTTCTCAAGTTGCTCACTTTATTGTTACTGACTGCCAGAAAGTCTTTCCAACCTATGAAAATGTCATCCGCTGCGATGCTGGAGATATTCAGAGGATACCCGCTGGTTTTCCACATGCCGGCGATGCGGTTGGGGAGACTCTCGCTGGCAGGCCCCGCCTCGATCGAGTGCTCGATGATCCCTCAGATCATCGAAACGCGCTCGGAACCCAGTTATTCGGGTGGGAATGTCGCAGGATACGCATTGTCTTTCTATCGAGACCGTCGTCGAATACGATCAGCTGGTCGCGGATTCGAATTCCAGCGGCGGCGTAAGCCATCTCCACAACACTCGCTCTGAGCAGACAACATCAGCTCGCGGTTCCCACACGGCTGCTTTCGCTACTGCGGCTGCTGCCGAATCGGCTGGTCGACTGTCGGGGTGACGACGGACACAAGATTTCGTTCTGTGTATTCGTGTTTTCTCTGTAGCCACCAAGGAGGCACGCCAGAGCAGGTTCGAGAGTGCCCCCGTGGGCTCCTGTTGTGTTTCGGAGCCGTTGTCGAGTTCTCGTGCGAGAACGACAGTCGTCGTCACACCAGTCGTCGGTGGCTCCAGTATCCTGTTGTTGTGGAATTGTTTGTGGAAAAACTCAGCGGTCCATTGTCCGGGCGAGACTTCTGGCGACGTCCGACTCCTGATCTATCCTACGAGCCCTCTATCGTTAGCAGGAAGTGGTCTCCCTGATACTTCACAGCGCGTACCGCTGTTTCCTTGCTCGGAAGCAGAACCGAAGTTCCCGTGATTGGAAGAGCGCCGCTCGCTGGAATCAGCGGCGCCGCTGCGGCAGGGACGACGGCTTCGCCCATTGGAGAGTCCATGAAAAGTACCTGCTAGGTCGGAGAACAGGCAAGAAGCCCCGAGTTTCACCCGGAGATCGATAGGGAACCTTCGCGCGAATCGTACTCAGTCAGTGTTGCTCCTTGGCCGGGATGGCCGCTCCTGCAGAAAACCCCATGGTTTTCCTCGACATTCGGATCGGCGAAGAACAGAGTGAGTGATTTTCGATGTGTGATCATGAATAAGTCATGTATATGCAGTGGGAGTGTCGGTCGTCCGATTGGAAACCGATTGATCCGCGAGCATTCGAGGTTCGCCTCACAGAGCGCATCGGAACTATATTCAACATCGTCCTGTCAGTGTACTCCTCCGGTGCTCAGGAACCGAGATTGCGATTCGAGCAGAGGACTTTGCGAGAAGGAGCTCGCTGTCGCGGTCCCTGGGGATTCGGAGGCTCGCACTGAGGGCACGAATGGAAACCTAGGAAGGTTGGCTGTTCGCTGGGATTTTTTTGTCCCAACGAATAAGGAACCGGGGGTCCTCTTCCCCACCTACCACAGATCAAGCTTGTTGCGTTCGGCTTCCGATCAATTTTGTTGAGATATGTAGAGATAGCTTTTTTTTCAACGGAGGAAAAGGCGATGAAGCGCGTCGAGCATGGATCGCTCATTGATAGCCGGTCGTTACTCCGAGCGAATGCGCGTCTCTGGATGGATGAATACAAGAGCAACAATGGGGATAATCGCCGCGGAAACGGCGAGGAACCAGCCGGGAGCAAGCGAGAAACCTTGAACGAGTAGTTCGGATTTAAGCGGAACGTCGAGACGTCTGACTCTTCCTAGAGGTGAAAAGTTCCAATCTCGCAACACTGAGCGTGGCCGACAGTTCCGCATGGTCATGATCGATGAAACCCATGGAGTCTGTAGCTGACCGTCCGTTTGCCGAAACAATATCGAAGCGGAAAACTCCGACCCCGGAACTCGATCCTTTCATGAAAATAGCTGAGGTTCCATAAGTGACTCATCTATCCGGAGCGTGACCGACGCCGATATTTCTCCGAATTATTTTAAATGTAGTTAAATTTAGCAGAACACTTCACAAATAGCGAAAACAACTCACGTTTCCACCCTTCCAAGAGGACGATGGCCTGCCGGGTCTTTTCCGCTACCACCAACGACATCAAGGACATTGACAACGAGAATTACTAAAGGCATGGACTTCTCGAAGAAGTCCATGAATAGATCGGTGCCCGCGACCCGGCCAGACACGGAGTTCGAAACGGTCAGAATTCAGTTACCTACTCCTTCGAAAAGCTCACCAGTTCACGACGCTGGCACCGCTCTACATAGTGAGCGAAGTCGGAGAGCTTTGAAGAAGGTTCCGAGTTTCCTATGGTGACGAAGGCTTCGAACCCCTTCCGGCCGTGTGACCTGAAGTCTGGTGGAGGTCCAGCAAGGAAGATGTATTCGTGATTCCCAATTTCAAGATCATCATCGCATTTCACCGACACCTTGCGTGTGAAAAACACCTTACTCACAGAATATGGCTGTAGCCCTTTCGGAGGAAGGGACGTTCCTACCTATACGCTCACGCAGTTCGAGAGAAGAAGCCATTTTACTATCGAAGAGCACGGTAGACAAATACTGTCGAAATCGGCGGACGAATCGCTGTATAATGATTCAGACATCCGAGATTCAATAATTCCGCGTCAGTAGCCATGTATTTCCAGAAGTAGGAAGAGTCGACCCGAGCTACTCCCGGAGTATCCTCCTCATCTGCTGAGGGTGCTAGGCTTGTCACTTTACACGCTCGTGTATGTGCTCAAGCCCTCTGAGGCAGATCGGTGCTTAGCGTAACGTCATAACTCGAAACCGGAACGGGATTCCGATTAACATTGTTTTCCAATCGCGTATTCGAGGGAGCTTGTCAGTAAAGTTTGTTTACTGACTTTCACTGTGTGTGACCGACAGGGCGGTTCAGGCAGTCTGAGTCGGTTCGACGGTTCAGATCTCTAGGTCAGGGCGAAGCTGTGTCATAGCCATAGCCCTGGATGTCCTAGAATTGAATTGCAGCTTGGGACCGCATCGGTTACTAGGCTCTATGAGCAAGCAGAACAAAGACGGAAAAACCTCGTGTGGAGGCAGCTCATGACATCGATGACAAGGTCTCGTAACCCACAGACGGCACGCGTCTGTCGTTAGTTTGTCCCAATCAGACTGGGAGACTTACGAATCAGTTACCGAACTTATCCGCGGGGGGTTCCGATCCCAATCTATATTCGAGCGGGAGAGTCATCTACGGAAGCCGGCGACAGGCTTCGAAGGAATGAGATTGGAAGAAGAAATCATCCATCTAAGGAGACTATGTTTATGTATTGTACCTGAGCTGGAGAAGCTCAAATGTCCCTGCGATGGATCGTCACGAAAAACTGTGCTTCCCGTGGAGGATTCAGAGGGGCATTACTCTATCGATGGTATCACCTGACGGCCTACGGAGGCGATTCCTGAATCGGACTTCATTTGTGACGGTGCACGAGCTCGTCAACGGAATCTCTTTGGTCCGCCCCGAGCCAGGATTCCCATTCCTGGGAATTCTCTCCGGATGAGCGTTCGTAGCTTCGGGAAGTGCACCAAATCAGTACTGAGGGCGCTGGTCATCGAATCTTATCAGTCAGATCTGCCTCGTTCGGAGCATCGACATATCTCATCGCCTAATGGATAAGCCTCTGTACGGGGACAGGTTTGCTTTCCGAGAGTGGGATCGACCCACGAAGTGAGCCTTCACTTTGCGGTATCTCTCGAAGTTGGCGACAAAGAACTCATCTGAAGCATACGGTCTTGTTTCCGCGAAAATTTTCCTCATGCGACTCTGAAGTTGTGGAGCCCGCTCGATGATCAAGCGGCGATGAAAGCTCGACACGTGCTTTAAGGATGTCTGAGAAAGTCCCTTGGAGCCCCAATCTTGCCGATGCAGCTGGAAACTAGCGGTTCAGGGCTCAGGGCACGCTCCTTCCGCCATTCTCATCGAATGCAGAAGTCGAGCGCGTCTGCCTCACTGCTCGGACTCCCGGGCGTGTATTTACATCGAATCGTTACTCGCGTCGATCTTCCCTGGGCCGGAGGCGATTATCTTGGGCGCTATTCTTGAAGCTCCACCAGAGGAGGTCATCATCGAGGGCTCTCCACGAAAATTCCACCTGGGAGTCCCGATGTCGAGGCTCCGAAACTTTGCAGCTCCGCTTCGTTCACATGATTTGGTAGGCTAAGACAATTCCCTCGTTTCTCACCTTGAGTTAATCATTTCCAGGCCCCATGATCAATGATCCATTTGACCGCGATACTCGAGAGTTAATCATGATTCATGGATGATCACTCGGGGAGTTCTAGCGTCATTTCCGGGCGCTTCAGCGGAGCGAATGACCCAAACGGAGATTCCCCCGCAAGATTCGAAAATTTTTGGTCGTCGGGGGACATGTTTATCTGAGTTGCGATATCTGAATGTCAAGGGGAGCCGAGGTGATTCGCGGGATGTCCCAACCCGAGCCTCTTACGGACGAGACAAGGCTCGGACCTAACCTCTGAATGTCGATGTCGAATCGGTTTCCACCTCTCGCTGGAATGATTACCTGGAATCACCCGCCGACATGAGAAAGACGAGGCCATGCTGCGAAGGAATCACAGGGTTTCGCCTCAATCTTTTCTTTCTTCTTTTTGCAGTTGGGAGGGTGGTTCTTGAGCTTTATCAGGAGGAGTTCCCCAACACAGTCCGGAATTTCCTCGCTCTCGCGACTGGCGAAGGCCGCGGCTCGAACGGGCAACAGATCTCTTACAAGGTGAGAAACGTCACGATTCATTCAAATATCCAACCTCGGGTTTCGATACGTCTAGCTCCAGGTCCGCTTTCACTCGGGACGGTCTTTGAATTCCTCCGCAGGGTACTCGAATATTCAAAGTTGTGCCCCGATTCGCCATCCAAGGCGGCGACGTGGAGAACAACGATGGAACCGGCAGCGAAACGATCTATGGGAAGTTCTTCCCGAAGGAAGGTCCTTTCAAATCGGTGAGTCGCCATTCTCAGGGAGAGCGGAATGTCGCCCCGATGAAGGATCAATCCGACCCGGATATCGTGCCATCCATCTGAATTTCTTCCGCATTACAGCATACCTCAGCCGGCCTTCTCGGGATGGCGAGTCACGATGCCGAATCGAGCGGAAGTCAATTTTATATCACCACGGTACCGAACTGCACTCACCTCGACGGCAAGAGTACGGTTTTCGGACGAGTAGTGAGAGGCATGGGCGTGATCACCCAAGTCGAATGCATAGTCACCACTCACAACGACGCACCCACCGAGGACGTCGTCGTTGACGACTGCGGTTTGTATGAGTGTGGAATGCCGCTCGGACCCGAGGACTCTTACGGAGACGACGTGTTCCCACCCTTCCCAGAGGACTGTCCACCGACGTTCATCAACTTCACATCCCTCCAGGTTGGTTCTCGGATCTCATTCCGGGAGTCCGCCAGCGCCGGTATTCCCCTAGTAGTGACGCCAATATTGACGTAAGACAATCAGTTCGAATTGGAATTTCCCTCCCCAGGACGTGATCCACGTGGCGGAGCGCGTTCGCATCGTTGGCAATTTCTATTACAAGAGCGAGCGCTATACTAAGGCCAATTCGAAGTATAAGAAGGCGCTCAGGTACTTGATGAAGTTCCAAGAAGATGCTCAATCGTCGAATCATGATCTCAGTCCCAAGGAGGAGCTCGAAGTCACCCACGCTGTCATCCACAATCTCTTGAACTCGGCGGCTTGCAAAATTAAGCTCCAACTATACGACGAGGCTCTGGAGAATTGTAATGAAGCTCTGGACTGTGTGCCGAACCACGTCAAGGCTCTCTACCGGAGAGGTCAAGCCTACCACGGAAAACGCGAATACGAACGAGCAGTGGTAAGGATTTTTCTCTGCGAGAGGGTCATCTGATGATATAGATGAAATGAGGGAAAATGCATACACAATCATCTGATCATGGCCTAGAACCTAGAATATAATCATTGCCCTTCCCGTAATTATTGCTCATAAAATAACTTGAACCTATAATAATAATTATGGTAGAATAATTATTGCCTCAAGCATAATTTAAGCTCATGATATAATTATAACCAATTACATATTGTGGCCTCTCCCTCTGAGGGAGATATCGCGCGGCGCGTGAGTTGGTGAACTGCTCCTAACATAAACTCTCTTACAGGCGGATCTGCTGGTGGCTCAGCAACTCGAACCGACAAATCATTCCATTATTGCGGAGCTCAAGGCTTGTCGCGGGGAGATGACCATGTACAAAGAGCGGGAGAGACGCGCTTGTCAGAAGTACTTCAAGAGCTTAAACAACACGCCAAATAATGGTGAAGCTCAAAACAGCCAGAACAATGGGTCGCAACCTGAAGCGATGCTGAATTAGATTTGACCTGTAAATCGAACATTGTTGTAGATAAGTTGTCTTTTTTCTCGTTATCCTGCACGATTCCCTCTGACCTCAGCTTGGGTGGCTTCGAAATAATTTCATTAGACCCGCGCTGAACTGACCGCCTCAACGGATGATTTACGTAGAGTACTTCCCCCGTAAGAAAATTCATTCATCCATGGTCTGATATTTGATGTAAGACGGAGAGAAACGCTGTATATCTTACGTTTATTTGAGGGGCTCCTTCGTCAGTGGCATATTTTTCTGACGAAATAAAATCCGAGCAATACCAAGTCTATGTCCCTAAATACGAGGGGAAACGGAATCAAAACTGATGTACCTTAAAACCGTGGGGATATAGTTCCGTGTTTCCGCCTGCGATTGGGCTGCTCTTGTTCGGCTCGTCTGTTCCGGAGGGAGTGATTCAGCAATCAGTCGTCACGAGTTCTGACAATTATGATCCTCTATAGTTGACGAAATACACACAAGAGGACGATATTAAATATTATTTTGGCACGATCGCATACTGAGACGGGAAGACGTCGATACAACGTATCCACCGTTCCTTGTGGTCAAGACCCTCCGTTAGATAAGCGGAGAAATCGCGAGCTTGTATTCCGGATTCATCGACTCTAACGGTTCGACTACACAGATGAGCGGCGGCTATCGACTGAATGTTGATTGATGAGATTGCCGGTCTTTCAGCTAACAGGTTCCGCTGTACGTTGGTGTAAATAAATATTAGCACCAAAACACTCTGGATCATTTCTAAGTTAAGTTAGATCTCACCTCTCAGTCTAATCCAGGCAAGAAGTTGGGATCTTCCTTATATAAGCCGATATGTATGGAAAGGACAGCTCCGGTACCTTGTCGGCTCGGGACGCTCGCCGGCTCAAGCTTGTCGGGAACAGAACTTCTCTTCCAGCGCACACGCGAGGCTCACCAACGAACCGATTGTCACGCAAGAGACCGTCGATCCTTACATCATCCGGGGTCACTTCATGTGAAAAGCGGCGGACAGCCTCGTCCAGGGTGCAATGAGCGTCTCAAGTCGGAGGAGGGATCGGTTGGTATGTGTTTCAACGCCATCGCCCCCGAGAGGGACTGCCATCCCAGGGTACCGTCCCGGATGCCTGATTGGTGGAAACCCGGCACAGCTGACTGGCTTCTCCTATCGCGTTCATTCTGAAGCTGCAGTCTCCCCAGGGAGATTCCCCCGGGAGTACGAGCGCCTGCTCGATGTCGATGCGAGGGGTAGCGGCGTGATGCGCCGATGACACGGTCCCTCCGAGCCTACGTCTCTGGCGATCGCTCAGCCCCTGTGACGGAAATGATGAACAGCAGCTCCCTTTCGGCGGAGCCGAGTTGCGGCATGCGGGAATGATAAGGAATTTAAGAAGTTTCCTAGCCAGGATCGCATAGATCGAAGTAGTTGACTATTCTCTTAAAGGAGCTTTTGGTTTTTCCGCGATACCGGTCGCGTTGTGTCTCTCGTTGAGTTCGAGCCAAACTGAATGTTCTCGGCTAAAAGTTCCGAGCTGTTCGGCGCTTTCGTTGAAAGCTCGATCGAGAAGGGAAACAGTGTTCCCGAATGATAAGCGGCAGGACCAACAGTGTACCAATTGATGGTTTCGAAAAGCGAGCGATTCGCTGCCGGCTGTGTGGACAACGGTCATTGCGAAGACAGCGTGCATATTAACCCATCAATTTTCGGCTGTCTTTGTGCCTCAATTGAGAGGTGAGACCCTGAAGAATCTATTTTACGAGTATTTTGAGCTTTCGTTGGAAAACTTCCGAAAACCATTATATATGCCGTTAAAATGCGAAGAACTTTCGCGTATACTCGCTTCGGAACGAAGTATCGCCTGCTCATAACTCGTAACCCGACCATAGGTATTCTCTCAGCGAGTATCATTGTCTCTACACAGGAGCGTCGCCGTCTCAGAAGGCGTGAGTTACGAACTTCGTCCCTACGGGTGTCCCTCGATGAACACTTTGATTTGAAAACATCGAGGAGCTCTGAATCGCTCCCTAGGATTCGCCCCAAACGCCGCACCTGTACGTGGAATCGGTCGACTGGATCTTCCCAACCCGAGACTTCATTTACATCGGGAGGGGCTTCGCCTCAAATTCGAGCTGTCGGTCCCGTAGCATTCATGATCGAGAATTTTCGCCTCGTCTTCTACAAATACTGCAGATCCCCCTCAGACTCAGCTTCGGAAGTACCTGATGGGCTGATTGCGATGCGCTCTCAGATTGTCAAGGTATTGGAGAATCGTACCTCAGTCAGCAGTCATCACATCACGTATGAAGTATGTCCCACCAGGAAGTCAAGAACTCAATCGCTCAATAAATAATAATCATTCGTTTATTTCCTCGGAGCAGGTCGACGGTCCGCGATCCTGCGAGCATTGGGCACCAGGACCTATCCATCCCTTGTCCGACTTCCGATCAACTCTCGTTACGAGAGTCGTTGTTCGCTGGTCATCGCGTTTGGTACGCGTCACTTCTGATTCGCTCGGTGAGTGTTCAAGGTATCTTCATGAAGTATTCGCGTTGCTCGAATGCGAATGTTGACGATGCGGGGTTTACGCGATCCGGGGCGAATCCCGTCCGGAGGTCCCGGTTCGGGACGGTCCCCGTGTGTAGAGCGTCTCTGGATAAACTGAGTTCTAAGTAGTCTATGTCACTGCAGTTGTCCCTCAAGAGAGCGTCCAGTCGTTGTACCAGCAGAGGGAACGAAGGTCTCATGCATGGATTGTCGTGCCAGCAATCCAGCATCACCTCATACCTGTGACGTGAATTCAATTGGTGAGAATCCGCAGACTTCAGGCTTTCTCATTTGTCGAACGCCCTCAGCAAAGGCTGATACTGATCGAATAACTCCATCAAATTCTCATCAAACACATCAACAATTAGACACGTATTCGAAAAATCTCATGCCGCCATGAAGTGAACGAGGGTCTTCGGAGCATTGACAGTATTTGAAACAGAAACATCTGGCGAACGCACAATTCGTCTGCACAGTGATCCGGTCTTTCCATCCGATGTCCAGCTTTAAGAAAGTCGAAGAGTTTCTCGATGTGCGCGAGTGAAGGATAGGGCGTCCCACCCAGAGTCATGATTTCCCAAAGCAGAATACCGAACGACCACCTGTTACGAAAAAAGCTCATTTGCCTGGGTGCTTCTGGCGTCTCGGTCAGGGCGACAGATCGACCGCCTCCTTCGTGGGGAGGAGGTCTTTCTAACTTACAGGGCTGAAAAATCGTTGCACATTATTATACATGATGGAGATGAGCCTCCGGCATACAAAATAAAGTGCAAATCGATGCTCACACATCACTCATCGAAGTGTAGACCTGATCGAAAAGTGCTTCAGGAGCCATCCACTTGACCGGCAGACGACCATTAGTAGTCTTACGATAATAGCCGTAATCGTGAAGATCTCTGGCTAGTCCAAAATCAGCGATCTTGCAGATTCGGTTGTCTACTACGAGGACGTTCCGGGCGGCGAGGTCTCGATGGATGCATTTCCTCGACGCAAGATACTCCATGCCCCTCGCCACCTGAAACGCGTACGACATCAGATCCCCGAGCGACAGGAGCCGGTTGCCGACGAATCTCTGACCGTCGATCGGTTCCAGATAGTCCGGCGTCAGACGTTGTCTCCGAAGGTGGTCTCGAAGATTCCCATCTGAGGCGTATTCCACGATAACGTACAAGGGACCATCTTGGGTGCAACATCCGAGAAGGTTGATGATGTTGATGTGTTTCCCGATGATTTTCATGACCTCCATTTCGGAGACAAGATCGATCATGTCCAGATCAGAGTGCGACTCCTTCAGCATCTTGACCGCCACCACCGAGCTGGAATTCGTATCTGGAGCTCCGATTCCGAAGGCTTCGGCCTTGACCACCCGGCCGAAAGCTCCTTCACCCAACGGCTCCTTGAACAGCAGTCGGTCTCGGGGGAACTCCCACAATGGGTCGAGCGGAAGTTCGTACAAAGACATTGAAGATTTGAGTGAAGATTCCGAAGCCGGAACGTACGTCGGTTGGGGAGTTATCGTCACTTGGGGGAAGCATGGAGAATATTCAAACGAACTCGAACGCTTGGCGTCGGGGCGCTCGCAGTCGTACTTCAAGGTGATCTTCTTCTTCAGGACACAGACCTGCTGCTGAAGGAGCTGCATCTCGACCTCCTGCTTCTTGCGGAAATCATTCGATCGCCTGCTGACCAGGACGACGAGAATGCTCAGCGACACCACCGAGAATAGCACACCATACACCAGGATTGGGGAAGTACTTCCTTTGACCGTGAGTTCTGATCGGTTGTCCGCTAGCACTTCGACGTACAGTGTATGACGCGAAACTCCCACAGAGTTCCCAACGACGCAGGTGTAGAGGCCCTCATCTTCGAGGCTGACGTTTGTCACTAGTAGATGAGGACCGCTCTGGAATGAATAACAGGGAAGTTTTCACGAGCCTCTTCTCTTATCCCATTGAGCTAGGAAACGTTATATCCGGATGCTCACCGATAATTGCGCCTGGTGATCTTCGAAGTTTCGGACCCACATGAAGGACGGTGTATCGCCGGATATCGCTTCACATGTCAAGTTCAAGTTCTCTCCGCGATGGATCGTCTGATTTCTGAGGTAGTTTTCGAGGATTATCGGCCCGGTGATTAGAAGGTCTGTAATGTTCGAAAATCCGACTAGATGCCCATCGAGTAAGATACAGATCAGACAACTCCTTTCTGTACTTATTGAGGGGCACTTCTTGATTGAAGACATGAACCGAAGGATAATCACCTGTGACGTTGACTTGGAAGACATGAGAAACAGAACCATGATTGTTATAGGCCTTGCACTCGTAGTCGCCCTGCATCCCTTGAGACAAATTCGATAGTCTGAACAAAGGGCCGCGCATACTTGGGAAACTCTGGATTGGAAGGAGAGTTTAAAAATTCTGCTTGACTCTTCAGGGTATTGAAACAGTATCTACTGCTCCCCCCGAGACCGGTATCTGTGCAGTCACCATACGGCTGTCAAAACCGATTCACTGACCGTCGAGCGCCCCGTCGTCCTATCGATTTTCTTCCAGGTGTACGATTTTGCGTTCGACGCCGTACAATTCAAGTTGAGATCGTTACCGGCTGTGATGACCTCGAAATTCGTCATCCGACGGAGGAACTGAGGAGCATCTGGAACAGGCCGAGTCTCAGGGTCATATCGGGATCCGAATCGGAGGCTTCTCCCCCCTCGGAAAAATTCTGGGTGACAGACCATTCAATTTCTGCGCGGATGATGCGCAGACTGCGAACGCGAAGACAATGGACGCGTTCTCCAGGACGAGCATCTCATCTGGAAGTCTGTAAAGTTCATTTAGCTGGAAAGCCTTCGGAAAGCTCAACCAGACCACCGTCGGCTCCTGTCACATACGTGTGAGACAAGCAGTCGTGACACGGCCGGGGGAACACTCTCGATTGTTTGTGGAGCACGGAATCAACTGATCGGCTTGCAACGGACAGTCGGCAGGGGGACGGAGCGATCTTCCCGGGCCATGTCACGAGAATGCGTGTTCTGATCCTGATAGTGCCACAGCTGCTCCCTCTTCTTGAGCGAGCTCCGGTCTCAGTTCAGATCATCGGAAGCTCGGGTCCACTGACTATACGAAGAAGGGCGCCGTCCGGAAGACGGGAAGCCGGCGGATACTTCCTTTTCACGATTCCCTTGATCTCGGGAGAAACATTGATTCGGAAATTCGAGAGAATGCTCCGGTTGAGGAAACTCACCTTGAATACGAGCTACTCCGTGAATATAGTCTCAACGGTACACAATTGAACGCCTCAAGTTCTAGGATATCCGAACATCCACATGGCTCGAGTAGAACCCGTGGCAGAATTCGCCATCTCGTCTTGTGTTTGATAATTTCGTCGATTCGAGGACCCTGAAGCGAGAGAAGGGCGGGGACTGCTTCGCGCGCCTCTCGAAGTTCTTCATATTCATGAAGGGTGGAGCGAGACTTCGTTTGAAGAAGGAGAAGATCAGTCGAAGACCGGATCTTCGCCAAATATTATTTCACTGCGCTTCCCGTCTGTGCTGATCGATTGCTCTATGCGAAGCTCGCTTGGACCGCTTGTGAGCGAATCATTAATGAGTTCCAAATTCTAGCAAGTCAAGGATCGTCACCAATGAAGAGTTGTTGGGGATACCTGATCTGGGGAATGATGACCAGTTTAGACCGCGAGAGCGGGATTCTTCCTGGGAAGACCGATGGGGTGCTCCCTATCTTCACGCGGACCCAGTTTCGGTCGAAACCGACCTCCGAGTCCAAGGTGACTATGATCAGAATATAGCCGAAACTGCGGTACCGAAACCCGCGGCCGCTTCCGGCCTTATTCGACATCACGAGGGTGTCCCGGACGAAACGCAGGGTTCCGGTCCCGATGCGCTCCTGGTACCTCGTTCAGAAGGCCATGGGAAGTCCTAGCGCTGGCAGCAACGCCGGGGGGGGGCGATCGTCGGTGGCGCCACCGCAGTCAACGAGAGACGCGTCGACGACAAAGTTGAAAAACATGCATGCGGCCTTGAGCCAGCCTTACAGCTCAAAGAAACCACGAAGAAACCGTGGCCTCAAAGAAACACAGCTAAGCCAGCTCCCTAGACCACTACAAGTCAGCCCTGGGTGGGGTACGGAGGCCCGAGTGAGCTCATGGGAAGGGAAGTCGCTCCTCCCTTTTGAACCAAATCGGGTACCCTTGAGACACCTCCGAACGACTTAGGCGGCTGGAAAGGATACGGTTAATAGTTATCGTAGGAGTCGCCCGTCGAGCTTGACGCACGGAGGGAATTAGAGCAATTTCCTCCAAACTCATGCTCCAAAGATTTCAGATAGAAGACTGGAAAGGCACAAGGGCGTTCATAGGTCTTTGATCGTAATAGCTGCGCCTCGGATCCTCCAGGCATATTCGGAGTCCCCACACAACATCGTCGGTTAGGGCTAGAAGGATCTGCATCACCGAAGGCAAAACTGAGAAATCGGGAATCCGGTGCGGATGGATGTTTTTGAGACTCGTCCATATGGGATCATTTATAGAACTCCTGGCCCCCAGGAAGTTCCTGACGTCGCGCTGAGGCATAGCTACCTCCCGCTGACGGTAGTGAGAAGATCTTAAGTCAATGCTCGCGAACATTGTGATCCATTTCGAAGAAAATGTTCCCTTACATCTTTTGATGAAATTCTCTGCTTCATGGTCGAACGTGAACGATGTTGAAGTACAATTTGACTGTCCTCAAGACATCGCATCTGCCAACACCTCCAGGGCATTCGCGGAGGATTCGGTCGGAATCTTGGACCCCATTCAACTCGAACTTCGAGCTGACGTCGCTGATCTTTGAAGTCAAGAAAGAAGCCGAGATCCAAGGCCAGGAGACTGGGCAAGTGGAAGATCTCCCTAGCTGGACTCCATTCAGCTCGAGATTCCTGCTGACTAACCTAATAGTTCGACAAAGTGCGAAAATCCTCTTTAGGAAGGATCGCGAAGCCGTGAAACCCAAGGAACCACTGACGGAGGAGACTCAATTGTGAGACGACTGCTGTGCATTAATTTCCCCACCCTTCCAAGGCTGGTGATGATATTGTACACCCGACGCATCTCAATTGAGAGCGAGTACCGTATAGAGGATCGAGAATCGATTGTCCACTCAATGAACTCGTTCTTTTCGTTTCATTACCCTGAAGACGCCTACGGAAGTGACATACTCTCAAAACGATGAGAGGCGCATAGGGAGACTCCTTGCGAGCCGCATCAGGCGCTACGGTCATCGGAGGCATTGAGTAATTCTCTTCGGCAGCTGTTTTCCCTGGTCAATGGATTGTCCTCTCTCCGCCTCTCGGCGGAAATAAATCAGAGTCCCATCAGGACCTTCCACGCGACAAGACAATCAATCATGGGGCGATGGAGGCGGGAATCCTAATACGATCGAATCACCAACTCTTCGACATGAACGGTTCTCCGAAAAGATCGTGGAGTTGGAAGAACGATTCGAACCTCGTGTGATATCCCGTCTCAGAGCGAAAACTCACGAGTCTTTGGAGATTATCTCTCACACATCTTCAACGTTTTACTGTGTAGAAGCTAACGCTTATTTTCGGATGTAGACCTCGAAAGCTACACAGCTTCATTGCATCGGTTGGCCCTTCTGTCCCGGGCAGTCAGTCAGAGCCTTCCATATCCTTGACGATGACTCTTCGAGAGCGATAGCGGACCTACCTCAAAGTCAGACGGAGCTCTGCGGCAGTAGCCTTCGCCGCGTTCGACCAGAGCGTGAATTTTCCTGAGGAGCTCCTCCACAATCACGTGAAATATGATCGTTCCTTCGTGTGCCATCCCGCAGAGATCCACCTGCCAATTACCCTCGGGGTTTCCACTCAGCAGCTCCCGGAATGATGGAATACCACCAGCTCTTCCCCGGAGTGGTGAAATATACCACACTAGTTATACTATTATATATACCACGCTAGCCGTGAAAGCGCTTTCGACCACGATCCTTCCTTCCACACGGCTCTCTCCAGGGTCACCGACTCTGAAAATCCCCATTCCGGCAGAGCCGCCGATAGCGATTGGCTCGCGAAACGCGCGGCCGGAAAGCAGAGAGCGCGAAGAGAGTCAACGACGAGCAGGCTGACAGAGGTCTGATTTATTAACCAATTGGGTATATGCTGCGGCGGTCATGGGCACCATGGCCACCTACCAAGACCTCATCTGGAGCTACAACTGTAGCGTAGCCCGAACTGTTTACCGAATAGGAGATGATAGCCAATAAATATGATCCCGAAATCCGGAGCATCGGAAGAATCAGGCATATTCTTCCCTTTATTCAATTTATGATGATCCCAAATCTAATCGAAAATTCGATCATGGCCTCAGATCGAAAACCGGAAACCAGGAGGGACCGAACATCACATACTTCCCCCTCATGCCCCGCATACATATCGAGTCAAATATTGGATGGGGGATTTCCAGGTACGATGATACAGAAAATCATCGAGTGCCGCAGGAGAGGCCTCCTTATCCATCCGCACGATAGTGTCTGTGGCGTCTGCAGGTCTGCAGGGTCTTTTCTTATTTCAACCACGGCAACGATTCATAGATCTGATTTTATAGGTTAGATATGATTAGCTAAGTATCTTCGTCGGTCCGCACATCCGAGCGAGAGCTTCGCCTTTATTGCCTGGAAAAATCTCCTATTGGAAGCGGTGGGCCGTACGCAGGGTGCTGGGTCAGTACATCAGTCCGATACTCCTTTCCATATGATATATGTTGATCTCATCTCCCGAAATCGCTGCACAGATTCGCATTGAGCCGGAAAGAAGCATGAAAAAGCTCGGATCACTACGCATCGATACGGCGAGGCATCTAATCCGAGTCGAGATTTTCCTAAGTCTCAAACATGTCGGCGACGTTCCCATGGACGCTTCGGTAGTCACGGATCAATTGTTCGAACAGCTGAGGTAGGAGAGAACATTATTATGATAATAAATAATGACCATCCTCAGGACTCGTCGTGGCCGTCCCGTCGCGGAATTTCTCAAGGAACCTCAAAGCTTCTCCTATGACTTGCCTCGATTTCTTTGAATACCCAGGCGGGAATCTCCGTCCTTTTGGCTTTGGCAACGGACTCTCGATTCGCATTGCTCGACAAGTCGTGGTTCCGATGATCGCGATTGGAGCCAATGATGGACTCCGCCAACGCTGTAGTCGCCATTCCGACCGTCTGCTCGGCGCTGGTTTCTTTTTCCTGATCGATCGAGGAGCTCGATGTTGTCTCTGTTTTATTCTTTTGAGATCCGCTATCGGGAACAATAATTCGCTAAGATTGATGAATTTTCATCGTTCTCGGATGAGGGTTATACACATGATGGATAATTGAGGAGGGACACATCAAAGGGAGGAAAAAGAAGATACTGATGAATGAGCTCCAAAAAGCGGCGGTATCTACCTGAGCCCAGAGGGTTCTTTCTGACTTCCAGTCTTTCCGCTGCCTCCAAATCGACCTCGTTTAGAGTCGAGCAGGCTGCCAAAAACCCTGAACGTTCCCCGGCGCTGTTTGTTAGCCATACGAGGCCCAGCGTTCTTCTCGTCAGTGTCTGAATCGTCCTGATTCGATGCGTGTTTATCTTCGAGGAGGGAGCGGATCGTCATCCATTGCCGTGATTCCCGAGATTTCAGCAAAGCAATGCCATCGGGGCGTCTCATTGCTAATACTCACCGTGATCCTTGTCATGCTGAGACTTTTTCTTCGGCTTCGGACTTTGCATGAATTTCGCTGCTCGAACACGCAAGGATCCGCCGCCGATACGGCGACTCGAATTCCTTCCCGTCGTGTTCTTGCGTTCGGCCCATTGCTAGAGGAAATTCTTTGGATCAAAATTCGGCAGCTTCTCACAATGATTGAAAATCGCCTCCTCGAATGTTAGGACTGCGAAACTGTGGGGCAATGTAGCTCGAAGTGATCGAGTGAGTCCTGGGAGGAAATGGACTCACATCGATGTTCAAAATCGTCGCGGGATCGTAGATGTGTTTGTACACCTCTTCCATTTTCGAATCCCAGTTTCGTTTTGTTTTCTGGGCTTCGAGCTCTGTTTGACCTAGGTTCCCTTCGAGTGTTTTCAGAGTCTCTGTCAGCTCCTGGAGTTGTTCCTCGAATGCGGATCTATCGTTGCCTTCTTCAGGTATTGCTTTCGGCTGGGTTTTCTTTGCCCTGCGCAACTGTTTCTGGATTGTTTCCATCTGCGGCGGAACAAGAGCGGAACTCCCTGTTAAGACTATCTCTTCCCATGAGCACATCCGATTCCGAGGCTTTGTGTCCAGCCTATCCGGGGTAAGAACGATCGTACAAAGAATCCAACACTCGCCTTGAGTTCAGTTGAGATTTTCCGCTGACGTAGATGCGTAGCCCGTCTTAGGGCCTGTTGATGTGCCATTATATTCGCGTGTTGCTCCTTCTCCTCCTCAGACCATGAGGCTATGAGCTTTGGTCTCGCGCCTGGGTTCGCCGTCGCAGCCCCCTCTCCGAGCCCTGAAGCTCCCCAGTCAGAGATCGCAATTAGAGTCATGATCGTTCGAATTTACGAGCGCTATCCATCTCCATTTGAACCAGCACCGAGGATCGATCGACCGTAGAGAATTCTAATATGAAGAAAGCATATCGAAACGATCGCATCTCGCTCCGTCCCCGAAGTATTTCTCCAACACGTAGAAATTATGTGTAGACAAAATTACCTTGGTTTTGGAGAGGGGTTTTCGTTGTCTGAGCTGTGTCCGTCTCGTCCATCACGATCACAGGCGCTCCCCTCAGGAGTTCATTCAATAATTGCAATGTTTGTGAGATAGCTCCCTGATTGTCCGAGGCCGATTCTATAGGCACGAACGACGCGCAGCCCTCTAGGTTTAGACCTTCGATATCCAAGGACGATGCCTAGGAACAGACATACGAGCTCAGGTGGCTTTCGGGAAGACGAAATCGTTTGCGGGAATTATGGTCTCGCATGACTTTTCTCGAATATTTCCTTCGGATCCGTGGTAAGTCGTTATTATTCATTAATGGAATCATATAGACTCACCGAAATCCTGCTCTGGATCGCGGCCACCCACTCCTCGGCTTCTTGCAAAGTCTGGGTCGCCAGTTGGAGTTGGTTCGGTGTACTCTGAGGCCTCAATGGGCAAGATATGCAAGAACCGAAATTGGCATTCGTGGAACCATCACTTGCGTCGGATTTGTCGCTTAACCTCAAATTAAGCAGCGGCTTTTGTTGCCCTCGCGGGTTCTGTCGACGAAGCGATGGCATATGAGAGGGAGAACTACCTAGTTCACTTATGTGTCAATCTTCCATCGAAACACTGTCGAAGAGCACAGTGAGAGAATAAATTTCCTGACTCTTACAAGAGAGGGATCTCATTGATTATTATCATCTATGATCATGATGCACGTTATAGTTATAGACCTTGAACATTCACATCGAAACTATCGTTCGTCACGATTCATATCGTCAAGCTGGGAGAAACGGTGCCTGGGATTAGAACGAGACATTGCATCCCGAAAAAGAAGGCACTAATGAATGTTCCGCGCCGTCATTGCGTGGGTACTCAGTCACGATCGCGGAGCTCTCCGCGTAATGGAGGTCAGCTCGCAAGCTGTCTGTCGAATCCCACTAACCTCCGGATCCGACTGCATGAGGTAGCACGGCACACGAGAACATTCACACCCAGATTTAAGCGTGACTCTCCGACTCGAGAAATCTGCGGGATTTCCGACGTGTCCTGCTTCGATCACAGATCACTGAGACCGTTCGCTTGCCCAGCAGGAGCCTTTCCCGCACTGAGAACTTTCGGCCATCTACGCCCCGTTGCCAAATATAACCGTTTAAATTTAGCGCTCCTGTCCTGGCGGGACAGGCGCTGCAAGAGCAACGGTGAAGAGCGTTCGGCTCCAAGGAGAGCTGTTCTACTGACGAATCAGAGCAAACTCAATCGGAGTGTGTAGCGAGTGCATCAGAGCCTCAGAATTCATGTCTCTGATTCCTTTTCGAGCTTCATGGCCCTCTCGCAGCCTAGTAATGCGCGGGGAAGCCCCCGTAATTATTTCATAAACAATTTCGCATCCTGATCTATCATCCTGACCTGAGTCTATCTTCAAACCCATCTAGGGTCCAGGTCAAATCCCCGACAACATAGCGAGAAACTTATACCTGCCCAGACCACAAGCTGGACTTCGTTTCTCTGTCCTCTCGATCCCGCACTGTGCGAATGGTACCGAACGCTTGATGATTTTCGGAGCCCATGTACTTTTTAGATTGAATAAGGACAATTCTCGCGTTCATCTTCTGCTTGTGATCCGAAAGACTCCACCCGCTTCAACCTCGTGAAACTCGTTCTCAGATTCGAGCGCTCGATTCACCGTTCCTCCTGTCTATATGACTCGACAATAATTTTTAAGGCTTAGAGCGATCCGTGATGATGTCCGTCGCCGATCCGAAGGCTTGGCTCGGGGCTCGAACAATCCAATAAATTACGGTTCTAGTGTGCTCTACGCAGATTCGAAGAGCTTCCGTATACTCACGATGATCACGAACGGGTACAGTTTTTGTTCCGAATACTGCGCTTCGAGTTGACAGGGCTGCTGTTTCAGCACTTTGGTCAGCGAAGAGAGGCTGAGCGAAATGCCCGGCAGGGGATCCAGAATATTATGATATGCGTCCAAATGTTTAGAGTAAACGGCCACATACAATCTGAACCACTCGCAGTCGTCCGACAGCACGAAGAGGAAGCCATCCTAGAAATATCAAACGTCGGGTACTAAGACTTGCAGGAATTTCGAGGCGGGCTAAAAGAACTCAGAACTAATCTAGGGTCTCATGGGGTTTTCATTCTTTTGTTTCAGTCTCAAAGTTATCACAATCATCTTTTTCACTCTCGGATGAGTTTTCCAGTGGGCGACTCACCTTGAGCGGAAGTTCTTTCCTGTAAGTGTGCGAAGACGGTAGATCAGTCAACGAATCCCTGGACTCGGTGAACTCATATTCCATTTCCAAGTCCTCAGTGCATTCTTCGATGAAACTGAGTTGAGATCCGTCGAATGCATCGCAGAGCTTTTTGCTCTCGTCCGATGACGTTGCATCGTCCTCTCGACAGCTGGACCAGGTTTCTGAAGGCACAAGGAAACACATTGTGGACACTTCCCTCGGGAGAACAAGATTCTTCTCCCAATCGTTACCTTTTTCATCAGCGTCTATCCGCTTCAATTTTTCTCTTATGTGCACGAACCAGTCTAGCATTTCGCTCTCTACTTGGAGACTGTCGTCGTCTGACTATTCTCGAACAGACTCCCGGCAAGCGAATGCTTTAAATATAGCGTCCAATGCGGTGCCTACGTAGTTTTCGCGGATCATCCGGGGTTTATAGCTCTGTCGCTCCACTCCGGCTGACAGTGAATCGGGAATTAGTTGGAAGCGATTGCCCGCGAGAGCGTGTCACTCCCCAAGATACCAAGGAGCGTGATCGAGCTACTTCCTCGACCGGAACGTACATCTTACGCGGCTCCGTCAGCCATGCATAGGGGGAGGGATTTCGAGTTTTGACCCAATTAGGAGCAGAATGAGAGAGTATTCCGAAGATGTTGAGCAAGTCGGACTCTCAAACAGAAAGCTCATCGGATTATCATGAAATGCGTCGAAGCTCCTTCTGCTCCGCCCCGATTCGCTGGGGTAGGGGGAACAGAGGAGGGTCTCACGGTCTCACCGGTAGCGCTCTTTTTGGCTAGGCCGATTCTGGGCTCCTTCAGCTGCATTTTTTCTCGACAAGTTCTGACAGTCAGCATTGTCCTTGCTGCTCTCTATTCCGAATCGGGCAAACCGACAAAAATACGATGCTTTTTCTCCGCACAAACACGCAAGATTCCCGGAACCGATGCAGAACTTTTTCTTCATCAGTCTCGAGAATTGGTCTCTCTTCGACACACTCGTATTTTCTATCGCGTGCATCGAGGACAGAAGACGCATTGCTTCTACATACATGCGACTTCACTCAAGACGGAGGACGCCTGTTCCCGTGAACCATAACCCTTTCACTGACTAGTCGAGCATCATAATAATGAATCTGATTCTGGAGCGAAATTTATGAGAGTCCTCCTGTCGTCTGACAATCATTCGGAGGGAAATCTTTCTCGTAGATCGCTTTCGATATCCCGGGCTCTCGTAATTCAACTTTCTCTGATTCGAGCCCGGCGGAACGTCCGAGGCCAGAAGTATCAGAAAACGAAGAATACTCACCTATGTTTCCTAGAATATCCCCTGTGTAGAAGTCAGCGATTATTTTCGCTAACTCTGAATCTGGTGCACAGCAGCTGGAGTTTCCGGCTTGAGTCTCTGTTTTGTCAGAACTAGTGTTTTGATTCCTGAAACTCATTTTCCCACTTCCTGTGTACGCGTCCCGAGCTCTCGAAGTGGACTGCAAATCTTGACCAGCGGAGAGACCGGTCGACGAAGTCGGGAGTGCGTGCGAGGATGATTCGCACGACGAAAGGACTATTTTTGGCTTTCACGGCATCGTACGAATGACTGCGAGCTAATGGAATGGGAAACCAGGATCTCCGGAGTCTACCTCCGGAGCCGAGGGATCAACGCGTATTAGAACGTCTCCCCTCGTGATATCTCGCTCTGATAGACATGAATCCTGTCCGAGCATTGTCACGGGGCTAAAGCGGAGATTCATCGCGGGACCTAGCGATAGCTGGGACGGATAGCTGCGGAACGATTTTCAAACATAGTTCCGATGCGGACATTTTTTTTATTAAATGCTCATCAGAATCTACATTGTACGATGTTGAGGCCTATGTCAATACCGTATTTCTCTCTGAGAGCCCTGGTCTCTTCGGCAGTCGGTGCCTCGGTGAAGTCGACGAAGACCCTTTCGAACACCCCATTGTTGCACACTACGAGAACAATCTGGTTCCCTTCTCTGATAGGCAGAAGATCTCTTCCGGCTTCCGCGATGGGCTCTCGGATATTGAGGTGATCCTCTTCCCGAATGCCAGACCAAACACCGAGGCGAGGACCTCGATATTTGAAGGAATCCGGGGTTGCTTCGAGCTGGCCTCTCTCACAGCCTAGAATTGATACGCATAGACAAGCCGGTCGAGAAGCCAATGGGAGCACGCTCGTTAGAGAAGCACCGAGAGCCGCAGGATCGCATGAGGGTACCGCGCTGGCGTATACGATGACGGAAGCGACTACGGCGGCGACGAGAAACGTTGGTTGCATGATGGTTGCCGGGATTTTTTCCCGTGATCTGATTCGAGTATGAATGTATGGATCCGAGACCTGAGCAGGGAGAGCAAGAAAATTCTATTTACCAAGATGGGCGATCGGATCGAACAGGAACCCAGGTACAAAACCCCATGTCTCGTGCATGAATTGAATCGGTTCGGATCTATCGAAACATCTGAGCTCTATAGAACGCTGCTCATTCATCCGTTCAGTCAGTCTATATCGTAGTACTCACTCACAGTTTGGTCAGATTCGCGAGGCGTATAATGAGCCGGAAAAACTAACGGATGAGCCCTTTATAGAAGTCGAGGAGATGCAGAGCCTAGAAGAGAAACTAGAGATGGATCATAAACACGAGACTTGTGATGACGAATCAAAACTCTCTTATTCCCCACACAGGGACAGAAGTCCAAGCTAATATTATGACTGTATGTTCGCGGCCGGCCAGTGATTTCCAATCGACATGTGATGAAAGCTTTCTCAGACGGAAAATCGCTACATTTCTCGATATCCTCGGTGCATCTCAGTCAGCGCTCGCTCTCACCTTGAGGACAGACAAATTGACTTGTCCCACGCCTTCGGGCTCGCTGGAGGTTTTTTTTCGATTCGGAGACAATCCGGAGGAGGTGAGAACAGGAATAGAGAAGAAGCTGCTGATTGCGAGGCTCCTGTATCAAACTCCGGGCATGTTTCCTCATCTCCTTCATTAGTCTGTGGTCGTGATTCGACAGGTTGAGCCTCGATCGGCTGTGTCGACAGTTTTCCGTCCAATATCCTGCCCCTCCATCGAGCGACGGACTGCAAATACAGAGGCGAGTTATTCGCTCCATAGAACCAGGGTGGCAAATGCATAAGGATGCAACATCGGAGTCGGGTCACGTTGTGTTCATTGCCAATCCTCCATCGAATCTGAATAGCTCATCTTGGATGCAATCGAGGCCGAAATTTTTTTGGAGCGTGCATCGAAACGTAATGAGTGGATTTCGGGAGATTCCATCGCCAGTTTTGCAGATCGCTGCCGGACGAGAACTCGAGGTACATGAATTGTGCATCTAACCAGTGTTCCCCAGCCTAAGTAAGACTTATGCCCCTCGAGAGGGAGACAATTTTCGCCCTCATCGAAGCCTCTGAGAGAAGGATCATGTTGCGGTGTGGATCGATATCTCGGTGGGGTATCGAAGAAAAACCTTTGGGTGCCACCTGCCACCTGCCAGAGTTCAAGTAATCATCGGGCGTTCCAAGACGCTTGCGAGGTCCGATATAAGTGCCACTGCTGAGTCACGCCCGAGTCGAAAGAGGAGTGAGTGAGACATTTTCTCCGATCGTTGAAGCTCCATGTCGCCCCGGGATACGATTGATTGCTTATATTATAGTTCTTGAAACAAGGTCATCGACCACGTGGAGCGCAGTGGCGCTCACAATCAGGAGAGAATTTCCTGTCCTCGGTTTATGGTGGTTCAGCCTGAGCTTCCCTGACGCACATATGGTCTCTTTTCACGTCTGAGCGCGCGGGCCCACGGAAATAAGGCAGCAAGTTCTGGATAGCTAGAACTACGGCAGATCTACGATTGCTCAAAATGTCACTGGTGGTTCGCGACATGAGCTCAGGATTTGACCGCACCGACTATGTATAACAATTCTTCACGGTTGGGACCCTGCTCTGCAGACAAGTTCAGTATCACAAAGTAAAGGACCGTACGCTGCGAAGACAGGACATTGGTATGAAGATCTTAGAAGCCGAGCCCGGGAAGCATGCAATTCCCTTGATACTCGGGGGAGCAGAGCTTGTCGTAGTCTAGCTGGATAGGGTAGATGAGAATAACTTGTGCTCAATTGAGCCAACCACCGCCCCGCCCCCTTGATCGATGAGGGGCTAGAGGCAGTTAATGATAAACACGGCCCGTTCCTTACATCATCATCTCGAGGGAGTTCGAAGCCTTGCGTTTTTCCATAACCGCTTTGTAGAAGAATGTCCGTCTAGTTGATGGTCGGGCGTTCTCTTCCTCTCCGCTTATATCCTTGGTTGCGGACTCTGGTTTCTCGATCTGATGCTTCTGCGGCTTCTCACTGGCAGCTGCCGATGAGCCGTGAGCCCAGAGCATGGAAATTTAGCCTATTGCAGGTGCACCGGAATTTCGAGGGAGTTTTCCCGCTTTAGCCAGGTTTATTAATTCAAGTCGAATCTAGTACTTAATTCCGACGAGGAGTTCCACAGTATAATGCGCCTAACTCCGGGGGATACCACGACGCGATGCCGCCCACGGACGTTAGGGATAGGAGGCCGGCGCAGAAGGGAATCGCTCAAGAAGTCTCATGAGCACAATGATCAGCATTTTTCCATCAGTTGCGATTCAAGATTATCATTCTGATATTCTTCCGGGTACGATTCCAAAGTTACTGAGGAACTAATCCGGCATCCGTTCGCTTCATCTCGCTCGGCAACTACCCTCAAGGTGCTACCTCGGTACTCGGTACTCATGACTACCCTGGCCGTGAGGGCGCTTCAGCTGTGACAAGACATAATGACGAGGCATTTGCTGAGTGTTGAGGTCTAGGTAGAAACTGGAAACTACTAGTCCTCGTTCCGTACTAGGACTATGACTCATACCAACCCACGGGGCCATATACCCGTGGCAGTAGTAAAATACGTGAGTCACCGGGTTGCACCGGGGTTGTACGAAATTGGGCTAGCACCCCACATGCTGGGTACACCCAATAGTATTCTAGGACGCTACTTATGATAGACCAAGGTAGCCTCATCCTATGTATATGTATGTACGGATCAGGACATGTAAGGAGGAGCTTAGACTCCTGCCTAGGTATAAAAGACCTAAGATTTCGAATAAAACTCACTGTGGTATCTCCCTCTCGTGAGATTGCATCTCTCTGTATTCCTGAACGGGCTGCTCTTCTACTCCTGACCAGAGCTACGAATCTTGACCTTCAACACTGAGGAATGACGATGACTCGAGACATACGTACATCTTGCGGAGAGCATGCGTCTGAGCAGCCCGAAGATTATATGTCGAGTCTGTATCAAATATATCTAGTCCCGTAATTGAACCTGCTCTAATCGCTCCTCTTGAGACAAGTCGACTTTGAGAGAGGGACAAAAGCCGATTCCGATTCCAGAGGAGCCCTTCCCTCCCGATTCCTCCAGGTACTAGGCTGAGCTGATGCTTCGTTGATGCGATCATCAACACTCGTTTATTTCCTCAGGGTCTATTTCGAAAAGGTATTTGTTCTCCAGCTCGGAGAGGACGTCGTCAGTGGCCGCGGATTTCGAGAGGAACTCGACATACTTCGTACGGGGCTCTCGGTCCTTGTTGCAGAAAACGTAGACGATGTAGTCGTCCTTCAGGATCGGGAAGTAGATAATGTCCTCACCCATCTCGATTCCGCTCGTGACCCTGAAGTAATCTCCGTCCAGCCTAGCGACAGACGACCCAAGGCTGCCAGCAGTATACGTGGTCGCTCCATCATCCACATCGACCGTCATCGGCCTGCATGTCTCCCCATTCCTGCAGGCACAAGAGGATCGGGTCCCGAACGCGTTAGCACCCCCAGCATCGGCTCCGAGGTGTTTGGCGTCGCATTTGAGGTCCGATATGTCTGCCGTAGCCGAGGTCGCCAGACAAGCGAGTAAGACAAGGTAGAGCATGCTTCTTCGATCTGAGAAGCTCTGGTGCTCTCAGGAATTCGATGAATGGCTTATATAGTCCTGTGGACAAGGTCGTTGAACACGTGGAGAGTAGCGGCACTCACAATCTGTAGAGGAATTCCCTGTGCTTGATGGATGGTGATTCAGCTTGATCTACTCTGACACACATGGTAACCTTTTCACAACTGAGATACGGGTCCATGCAAATAATGCGGTCGCGGCCGCTTCTACATAGCCAAAAGCTGTGGGGTATCCGCAATCTCTTGAGATATGAGTTGTGGTTCGTGACATGAGGTCGTTGGAGCATGATATTTGGCTCCATTCACAATTCCGACTTGGTAGAACCATTATTCACGGATGGAAGCTCCGCGACCGCTTCGCAGCTAAGTTCAGTCTTACAGAAGTATGGAATCGTCAGCCGTGAAGCCTCCCTCGGACAGGAAATCGCGGAGCGACTTTGTACGCGATCTGGTTGATAAGCATCGCAGTCCAGAGGTTCGAGAAGCTCATCTCGGAGAGCATGCGATGCTCCGGACGTCCCGGACCGTTGAGCTAGCCGCGGATCAACCCGATGTTTCTCCATGATGCTCGATTGAGCCAAACCCCCCTCTCCTACCCACGTCGATCGTCGATTGATTAGGGGCTATCGACCGTGTCTGATATAGAGCTAGGACTTTCAGGCAAAGAGCCTAAGATGCATTTTCGCGCTTGATTCCTGTGTTTTTGCCAATTCTTTGTTTTCGTTACGCCTTTTGGCATAGGATCACGCTCGAGGCTTCGGAGTGGGGGGGTCGGATTGGAAAAGAATTTGTGAGTCGATTTTATTAGGAACAAAGCCTCGATTGAAGAAAACTCTGATGGCAAAATTTCTTCAGGAAATCAGTATCTACAAAAATACTGTTTTTGATTAAGGAACGTCTAACGTCAGAGTTCGTCACGGAAAATTTAAGTTTCTACCGTTTTCTCGGAAATAAGACGTCAAAAACGTAAAAGCGTGATGGTTGAAAAGATTAAGCGTGACTCTTTCCGTCCGATAGGCATTCGAATTCCGACAAGGCGCGTCTATTATTAGTGAACACTGCATCGCGCTTGATTTCGCACTTTGACTTGGATCATTTTCAAGACCAACAAGATGATAACGAAGTTAATTCGCGCTTTGAAGTCGGTAATTGGAAACCGAAGGTGAATCAATATGAGGCGCAGCTTCTAAGAGATTCATTTCGTGGACTCAACGATGTCGTCATGGTTGAAATGATTCGGTACGTATTCAACCCTGGAGTTCGTCGCGGAAAATTCGCTGTTTTGCTGACATTCCGGCTCGCCCTGAAATTTCTTGAGGTTCGAGTCACCCAAGACCCCAAGACTCTTCCTTAGCGGGAAGAATTTCAAATTCGCTTAATCGTGTGTCTTTTATAGCGCTATCGACCGCGAGTTGAAAAGGGTCACCACCTAGAATCAGGTGTTCCTGCTCTGGCCTAGATTCTGCGTGGTGCCGTGCCATGTGACTGAAAGGTCTTCTTCAGATAGATTGCATCATTCAAGTAAATTAATCATGTGTTTTTAATAGGTTCCGTGCCATGAGATTGAGGAATCTCTTTCAGATAAATCATTCA